GGATAAGGTATGCTAATTGATTTAGAGTTTAACCTTCCAATTTGAGATATACCCTTCCAATTAACGCTTTATTTGCACCTTCAAAAAAATTAAAAAAATTTTTGAAATTTCTTAACATATTTTTCCGTATAAAAAATTAGTATCTGAATATCCCTAAATTAAATTATTGACCTTTCCAAAGGGTCTGATAGGCATAGGGATCGTATGTTCTAAAGTAGAGCCCCACTCATGTTCCAGAGTAAAACCCACACACTACATATTAAAGCCAGCCCATATCCAACTGAAATTTTAATGGGATCAAAAAAAAGACAATACTTAAATTTAAGTCCCCCTTTATCCAACACTCTTCCAGAGGTGGGTCGGAACAGTCAGAGGTGTCGGAAATCGGAACTGTCGGAAATCGAAAATGGCTCAAAAGTCGGAAATCGGAAATCAAAATTTTTTCGGAAATCGGAAATTTTTCCAAAATTTCGGAAATCGGAAGGAAAAAACGTCGGAAATCGGAGGTCGGAAATCGGAATTCCGACCCACCTCTGCACTCTTCCCTGAAGCTTTATTTTTGAAATACTATTAAAATACTTAAAAATATATTGTTATTTATAGTTTAAGCAATCTATTGGTCACTTCAAATCACTTATAGTCCCATATACTATTTTAATAGGTTAAATGGCATTAATTACGCAATTTTTGTTTAAAGAAGTAACTTAAAATTATACTTGGAAAAATATTACAATAAATAAAAATAAATTATATAACAGGTCAAAAATAATATTTTTAAGAGAGTGGATATTATAAATAAATCAAAAAATTAAATAAACAATAAAAAAATAGTCCAAGTATGCGTTACATAAAAAATAATATGTATGTGTAAAATATATGCCACGACGATTTTTTGAATTTTTTGGAGATTTTAGAAAATGTATTTGGACTAGAAATAAATTAAGTAGAAGTTCGGGAATTAAATTAAATTTTAATAGATTGGAATCACAAGGAATTAATCTCAAAAATATCTTCGATTTTCAAAATTCAAATTAAAAATATATGTATAAGAAAGGATTAAACATTAAAGGTGATTGAAGGAGTTCTTGAAATAATTTTTAATTTTTCTTACCCGTTTAAACAACCCCTTTAGCTGAACGACAATTTAATGTTAAAATTCGAAACAAGGCCGGGCTCTGAACAATTTTTTGGACCTTAATATGAAACCTTAATATTTTTAAGAGAATGAGAATTTTCAGAGTTCCGGATGGGCTTTTAGAGGTTTATCTACCAACAAAGGCCATATAATGAATTGTAGAGCTGTCCGAGGCTGAAAATTTTAAGACTCAAGACCAAGACTTGACCCCAAGACTCAAGACCAAAAATTAATAAGACTAGAGACCGAAAAAATCTCAAAAGTCTCGAGTCAATACTCAAGACCAAGAGTCTCGGATAGCTCTACTGAACAGAGTCTAAGTTGCAAAATCCAACCCAGTTTCATATAAAAATTAAACCTCACCCCCCCCCCTTGATATTCCCTTAATAACAAATTTATTCACGCAAAATCAAAGGACACAAAGTCATTAGCATCAATTTTGAAAATAACCTCCCCCTGATACAGTATATTTTAATAGGAAAAAATATTTAGACAAAAGACGAGTTGAAAAAAAAAATTTTTTGGTGTTAAACGGATTATTACCTATTATAGAAAATAGAATAAATGTCCTGAGAAAATTAAGAGAAAATAATATCTTCATAAATCTTTAGTTGGAATAATTTTTTTGTTTGTTTTTTATGCCTAGAGGCGAAAAAAGGGTATAAAAATATTAAAAATAAATTAAAAAATAATTTATGGAAAGTGTCAATATTTATCGTCATCAACAGATGTATTAGTAATAATTTTATTGAGATTAGGAAAAGATTTGAGAGGATTGTCGCGCATTAAGAAAGTTAAGAAAACATGTGGAAAATTAGAAAAAATAATAAAAATAATTTTTGAAAAATTAATACAGTACTGCACAAAAGTATAAGAACACTTTTAAAAAGTTTATAACTTGGGACATACTTGACCAAATTGTACCAAATTTTGTATAAATATGTGGATTAGAAAGAGAAATACGATTAAATAATTAAAATTTTAAAATTTTTAAAACATCTCTCCAAAACTTAAAATTATTAAAATTGCGTGATTTTTTTACTGCACAAAAGTATAAGAACACTTCACAAAAAGGATATTTCCAAGATTATGAAAAATTTACAAAAATTCTTGCAAAGATACATAATGATATTATGAAAAAATAAAAAAGAACTAGACCCATATCTTTACCCGGAACCGAGATCCTGAGACCCCGAAAATCAACGTAAAACAGGGGTAAAGCTCTTTTAAAAAATTTTTCGACCCCTTACGGATTATTTTCCATTTTGATTTCGGGCTCATTCGAAAGCCCTTGAAATTTGCTACAATATAGCAACAATATTATTTTTCAGAAAAAATTTTAGAGAGAGGTACATGCATTCAAACTTCGAAAGCGACCTTAAGGGGAATTTTATGGGGCATTAAGGCGTTTTTTTCTGCATCAGAAGTTTAATGCTTGCTTCTCTCTTTAAAATTTTTTCTGGAAAAAAAGATTATTGCTATCTTGTAGCAAATTTCAAGGGCTTTCGAATGAGCCCAAAATAAAAATTTACAGTAAGCCATAAGGGTCGAAAATATTTTTTAAAGTTGAAAAACCCTGCTTTACGTTGATTTTCGGGGTCTCAGGGTCTCGGTTCCGGATAAAGATATGGGTCTAGTTCTTTTTTATTTTTTCATAATATCATTATGTATCTTTGCGAGAATTTTTGTAAATTTTTCCTAATCTTGGAAATATCCTTTTTGTGAAGTGTTCTTATACTTTTGTGCAGTAAAAAAATCACGCAATTTTAATAATTTTAAGTTTTGGAGAGATGTTTTAAAAAATTTAAAATTTTAATTATTTAATCGTATTTCTCTTTCTAATCCACATATTTATACAAAATTTGGTACAATTTGGTCAAGTATGTCCCAAGTTATAAACTTTTTAAAAGTGTTCTTATACTTTTGTGCAGTACTGTATGTACAGTTGGACCTTCATTATAAGATAACCCTCTATGGGGATAACCCCCACCTATAAGATAAAAGTCCCTAGGGGATACCCCCGTCTCTTATATTGGTGTGTAGGTTAAATAGAAGATACCATTTAGGTAGCTCCCTCTACCTAATGGTCAACCAGCTTTTAAAGAAGGTTCCTTAAATAGAGGTGTATTATAAATTGGGGAGACTCTCTAAAACGACACCCCTTTTTGATGAATTTCGACTTAACCCAAGAAGGGCTTAAAAGTTAGTTTACAACCTAAGTAAATAAAAACAAAAAATTTTTTTAATAATATTGCAAAAGCAAAAATGTGGTAAAGTTTTGATGGCTAAAAGGATAAATAAATGAAAAATAAATAAAATTAAAAGGCTTAATACTTAAATGTTTTTGTTAGAGATTTTATATAGGCCATAAATTTATTTTATTTTCTAGGGCATATTTAGGCGCAAACTTTTTTTGGCACAATGATGTTAATCTAAAATATCAAGTAGGGATGGAAATTTCTAAAAAGCTTGGGATAGATTCTGTTCTGTAGGCATGGGTCGGATCCTGGTATGGGTCGGACCAGACTTAGGGAAAAACTTAGGGAGATCAACTGGGCCAAAAATAATAAATTTCAAATTTTGGTAACTTTAAGACGGCAAAATCCCGAGCCTGTGGGTAAATCCAATCGTCTATCCAGATCCACCCAACCTCTAATATGAACATACTACTATTGCATGTGAAAGTTATATGCAAGTGAAGCTATGTAGTAGTGGCTGGTTTAGTGTAGCTTCGAGCATCACTTAATCACTTGCACACCTGTAGGCACGAAGCAATTAGCTGTTCAGTTTGCTTATAGACCCTAAGGCAACTAGACGTCTTTTTTTATTATTTTTAAGTTGATCTAAGCTTTCAAGCTTCCACCATCACAAATTCTATCTAAAAATTAATTTAGCTATAGTTAAAATTTGTAATGGCGCCAGATCCTTCCCGTGCCCAACCATCCCCTCTTTAATATAAAAATAAAAGTAATGTCTGTTTAACCAATTAATCACCAAAAACAATTCAAAATAACAACAATCCACTATGTTTTGGATTAAAACAAGCATCACAAAACATCAAAGCTTTAACACACACACATGTACCCACAAAAAATTTTTTTAATAAAATCTAATTAATCTTTTTTACAAGCATTTTTGTTGTGTTAAAACAACTGACAGAGGGTAATCAAGGAATTTTTTTGATGACCAAACATTATTTTTTAGAAATTTTTTTAGTTATTTTTTTTAGTATTTAAAAATAGGAAGGTAAAAATGCAAAAGAAAAATTTGCTAAAATAAATCCATGATTTGTTCTCAAAGAGGTGAGAGGTTGTATGCAGGGCTAATTTGAAAGAAAAAATCTTGGAAAATCGAAAAATTTCAAAAGTATCGAAATTGAAAATCGTAAAAAAAAATTTTTTAAAGATTTGGAAAATAATTTGTAGATTTTTGTTATGTTAAGTCTCAGATGAAAATTTTGCTTCAACTCCTAGTCCAGGGACTATGGTTGACAGTTTTTTTCTTCCTCGAGAGATAAGCCTTTTTCAGGCTCATCTCTCGAGAGAGAGGTAACACTGTACTTTATTTTTAACTACTATTTTTATCAAGTTTTGTCGAGAATTGCTGGCCAAGCTAACAAAAAACTGCTATTGTTTGCAGAGACTTTTGCCTAATACTTTAATGTTCGTGACCCATTGGCGATAATTTTTAAGAATTTGAAAAATAAATTCAATCCAAAAAGCTCAAATTTATCTTAAATTTTATCTAAATTTTAAATAATTTAAATTAATTATATTATATTTATCTATAATTTTAATATCTTCAATCATTTGAAATAATCTGGTGCACATGGGTATCCACATTACAATTTTCCACTGATTGAGGATCAGCATTCGCCTGGGAGACATTGGTGGCAACGCCCGACATGACAGTAATTTCCGTAGCAACATCCAGAGTTCCCGCTACACGGACCATTTTGACTAATACAATTCTTATTAATACAACTATAAGTCTTTATTCCTGTTTGTTGGCATTGTAAGTTTTTGCCCTTCACGGCGCAGCATGGATAACCATCATGGGTGTCATTGTCACAACCAGTTTCACCTTCCTTTTTACAAGTAGGATCAGTATAAACATATTGGAATAATAATAAAGTTGAAAATAAAAAAAGAAAAATATTTATTGGAGACATTTTTGAATTATTATGTTATTTAATAAATATGTAGTTTATGCTAAAATAAAATAATTCATTATACACCCACAAATTGAGTGCCAGCCTATCTTGATCGGCCATAACTTTCTCAGGCTTGATCCAGTTCAAACAAATTTTATATCATTCGAAAGCCCTTGATACGCGGTATTTTTCCAACTTATTGGCTTAGGTCTGATCACTCGTTAAAAGGTCGTAGCCCGTTAAATGTGAAAACACCAAATAACTAGACATATCGTGTTATACCTTTTTAACAAACGATCAAACTTGATTTAACGATCTGACCTATTGGAATAAAAATAGCGCTTATTGAGGGCTTCCGAATGATAAGAGATTTATTTGAATTGTAACAAGCCCAAAAAAGTTATGGCTGATCAAAGTCGGTTGACACTCAATTTGTGGGTGTATTGGGGTTATTGTGAGTTTTTGTGGGTTTATTAAACTGATAATTTACTTTCCGTATTTATATCCTTGAATTCGTCATTTTTTACACTTTTAAGACTAAACTAGAAAAAAAATTTTTTCTAAAGGTTGTGGATTATTTTTGCAGTAGAAATTCCTGCATAATTTATAATTTCAATTTACCAACATGGTCTAAAGATTAATATTTATTAGGAAAGATTTTTTGAGTTTGAGAGAGAGAGGGACAAAATTGTTTTAACCGAGACTTTTACACAAATTTGCATGGTAAATGTGTAGCTCTCAATCCACATGTCCGCAAAAGGCATTCTGCAATCAGGACATTTTTTCTGCATACTTCTTTCGCTTTTCTTTCCTTTAATTGGGTAAAGAGTATAAATTTGTGATAAAGCAAGCCTTTGATTAATAGGGGTGGCTTGGAGCCATAAAGGGGATTTAAAAAATATCTTAACTCCCTACGAGATTTTGTGGGGTTAGGATTATTTAAAAAGGCAAAAGAATAGAAAACAAAAATTTTTATATGAAAATCAATAAATCTTGGCGGGACTTTATTACAAATTCATATTATTTAAATTTTTTACTTGTCTCTTTTCATGACTTATGCCACAAAGAAAGATCGAGACAACCAATCAAAGGAAAAAAACGCAAAGGAGTAAACTGCAGCAAAAATGCCCTTTTGCGGACATGTGGATTGCGAGCTACACATGAGATACACATTCACTGATTTGCATATTTGTTGAATATTTTTTTAATTCCTCAATAAAATATTTTTGAGATAATCACTATTACATTCTTTGTGTTAATATTACACTTGTATTTCACGCTCATATTAATGTCAAATACTTCCCTCTCGAGAAGTAACAATTTTTATCTATTTTTATTAAGTTTAGTCGAGAATTACTGGCCAAGCTAACAAAAAATAGGGCACGGATGAGCTTATCTAGATATTGTCTTCAATTAGAGAGTGGGCGTTTATTTTTCGATTGGACCCCTAAGGACTTAAGTGACTAAACTTAAATGACCCCTAAGTGACTCTAACTAACCAGGCTTTAATTAAAGCAACTACTAGAGTTAGGAACGGGATCGGGACCCGGACCCGTTTCCCGGTTTCCGGGTCCGTTTCCCGGGTTTTTTATACCGGGTTGAAACCGGGAACGGGTTTTCCCGGTTACCCGGACGCGGTTCCCGGCCGGTCCATTTTTCAGAACCCGTTACCCGGACCAGGTTCTTTCAAAATTCCTAACTCTAGCAACTACTGTAACTCCAAGTCTTGATATTTATTTAATTGATATTTTGAGCTTCCCTTGGATGAGTTAATCTAAAAAGATTACTAAATTTCAGTAAATCTCCCAGCTTCAAAAGAAAAAAAATAAAAAACACAAGATAAACAAAAGCACAAAAATAAATTTTTAGTTGCACAAACAAAAGCACAAAATCGCTATCAGAAAGAATTTAAAAGAGGTTGAGAAAGAAGGTGAGCACCTCTTCAAGGAAAAAGATAAAGCAGATGATTTATAAAACTTTTATTTTTATAAATTTTCTCAAGTTAAATTTTTTTATTTTTATTTAATTTTTGCGTTAATCTTGAAAATAAAAATTAAAATTTTTCTTTAATTTAAAATTATTTATTAATTAGAATGTCATCTTCTGAGTATGTACATCGCCCTAGACCAGCTGGAATTGCTGGGGAAATATTTGGAAAGGTTTTAGAGAAAATATTCATAATTAAAATAAATAGAATCCCTCAAAATTAGAAAAAATCTTAAACAAGAAGTAGGAAATTGGACGGGAAAAGGATAAAATCCTAACATAAATACAATATAATAATAGCTCAGGGATCCGAGGGTGGGTAAATTTAATTTAGAGAAAGTAATTAATCTACATAGAAAATCTATGTAGATTATCGGTGAGCCGGATAGAGAAAAAAGTCGGGTTTCGGGTCGGGTTTTGGGAAACATCTCGGGTCGAGTATCGGTATCGGGTGACCCGTCCCATTCCAAATGTAAATCGTTTAACCCCAGATTAAGTGCTTAAATTGAGTTGGGTGAATCACCTTTATAATTAAAATCAAACCAAAACAAATTATAATTCTAGCAACAATCAAAATATAACGAATTGGAAGGTAATCATTTGCTGGAATGGATTAAAGAACTGGTAAAGGATGATGCCGTAAATACAGACGGATCAAGACAAAACTTTCATACCCAATTGAAGGATGGGCAATTGTTGTGCAGGTAAATGGTAAATATAATTAGGGGGTATAAATTGAGGGGTATACCTTGAGTCATACATAGATATGACAGTTGAATTGAAATGTTATTATAAACATATGCCTTCCTTGATTTTCATTCCAGATGATTTTGTGTTCTCGATGAAACAAAAAACCTCAGTAACGAGGGGGACCCCCCCCCCCCAAATATTTAGGAATAAAATTCAAATCCTAAATAAAATGAATCCACTATTAGATCACTGTAGAATTCTCCCTAACGGGTCGGATCATTTTATACTCTTTTTTAGACTTTTGAATGCTGTCGAACCTGCAACTGTCAAAAAAGTTATGAAACCGATCTCAAACTTCAAGTAGAGAATTTTTTAGTTCCAAAAATAAATATTATTTTCAAATTAGTTGTATGGAAAATATCAACCAATTCGTTACTGGCGCTCGCAAGCTTGGTGTAATTGATGAAGAAACATTTCAATCTGTTGATCTTTTAGAAGGACGAGATTTATTTTCTGTTTGTGTAACTTTACAGGCACTCGCAAGAAAAGTAAGTCTAAATAGTTGGCCCCCGACCCTGCCCGCCCGATGATTTTTAGGCCATTCCCTAGCCTGATCCCCAACGAGATCCACGGCATTTTCGAGCACAGATTCCCCGACATCTTCCTCAAAGAAGTTCTTCTCCCTGACGGGTCGGAGACAAACTCTATTCCAAGACGATTTTTTTAAAAAAATATTTAATTTTAACTCAATCTAGCTTGAAAAGTCGCATGGAATTGCACCACCGAAGCAAGTGCCAAAGAATAAAATTTGAGAGATTAAGACGGGATATATAAAACATAATTTCTTAAAAATTCAACAAGGAGTTAGCATGATAAATTTAATTGGACAATAATTCTTAAAAATGTAAAGCATAAAATGTTGATTTTTAAAAAGGATTGAATCAGTTAATATATAGAAATGAAAGTTATCATTAGCCATCAAAATTACTACCATACCCAGTGCTGTGTATAGCTCTGGGAGTTAGCTCCGGAGCCCAGCTCCGGAGCTAAAATTTTGAAAACCCTTGATGTGAGCCGGAGCCAACATAAATATGCCCAAAACACAGCAAAGGTCATACCTTATTATAAATTACCCTCAAACTAGAACACCTACTATATTTAAAATACTTTATAAAATTTAGTAAACCACTGGGTCGGGAAACTGTAAGTAGTATCCCATCTTAAGATAAACCTCCCTTATAAGGAACAAATTTTTTTAATCCCTAAGTAAATATCTAAAGATTGAAATGAGTTGCAAATTTCCCACTCACCTCAGAAAAATTTTAAAAATAATTTTAAAAAATTAATTCAAAAATTATTCCAAAAAAAATTTTTATAAGAGAAATTAAATTTAAAAAAACATACATTTTTGTCCAAAAAATAATCATCATAATCAAATTCTTCTCTAAAATCCAATTATTTAACTATAAAATGAATGCCGATAATTCTTCGAATCATTTAATAAAGCATAATGTGGATATTGAGTAGAACCCGTAGACGTATTATTTCCAATTGGATAAACATTTGGTGTAGCTACCGAATGGTTATATTGTTGTTGTCGAAGTAATTCACAAAGCTTTTCTTCTTTAATTTTCCTAAAAATTGAGAAAATTAAGAAAATAAAATTTGAAGAATAGGCACTACAGGGGAAAGGGAAGGACATTTCTGTGAAGAAAATGTAAAGCAGGACTTGTTTCAACCCGAAACCCAATCCTAAAAAAAATTTTTTTAAACGTGACTTGACTTAATTGTCAAGACATCCTATCCGTTTCTACAAATATATTTATGAAATAAGCTTAAAAATATCCGTAAAAATTTATTTCTTTGCCTCTAAAAATGACGCTCCCCCAAGTGCCGCATAAAATAATAAAAATAAAACCTTAAATGAACAGTAGCACGCTTCTCACAAAATTGCTTAACAAACACATCAATGTCCAAATCTCCCTTGTGAAAGTCTTCTGATATCTTCTGAAAATAAATTTTTTTAATTAGTAAAAAACTAACGAGTTTAAATTTATTCTCAAAATTTTTAAGAATATTTTGAAATTTTCCAAAAATTTTCTGACCGAAGAAACTAATGAACTTTAAAAACTCCAAAAATACTCATTTTTAACAGTAAACCCAAATAATAACCTCGCTCTCCTTTTCTGCTTCGTGTGCAAGAGCCTTCAAAGTAGAACAAACAGAATCAAGTGAACGAGAATTGCTTATCTGAAAAAAAAAATTAATTAAAATCAAAATACAGTTCTACCCGTCTTTAAAACCCCGTTGTATGAGAAAATCGAATTAAAAACGAGGGGTATCTAAAACTGAGGTTGTAGTCTAGAGAGCTCTACTCCACCCAATATCCAGATAAATTTTTAAATAGTACCCGATCGAAGTCCGACCACTCTTTCGGCTTCGAACTGCTCTTCAAAGTCCGACCTATTAGTTTCTTTCACTTTTTTAATTTTAAATTGAATCGACCAGTTAACAGCTCCCGAGGGATGGACCAAAACCAAAATTTTAATTAAAACCTTGTCAAGTTTCTCCTTCATTTCTTCCACACTTTTCTTCTTCTCAACAGCATCAGAATGAGTTTTTTGTAAATTTAGTAGAGCAGTTTTTAATTTTTGTTCCATCGACAAATTATATTCTGCTAAAGATTTTGATTGAACAAATTTCATTTCTTTGTCATTTGAAATTGAATTGATCTTAAAAATTAAAAAAAAAATTTAATATTTATTTTGGCTGTCAAGGTTTGGATGCTTTTCAGAAATAATCAAGTAAGATTATTCAAACCTAGACAACCCAACATTTTCTGATTTATTTTGGCTAGGTTCTCAATAAGATTTTTTTGAAATAATTAGAATATAAGATTACTCAAACTTAACAAACATATTCATTAATTACAACCTTCTCATTCCCTATCCCTAACCTAAAAAATCGGAGAAAATTTCTAAAATCAATATAAAATTCATGCTACTTTGTCAAAAAATGAGTGTTGACCCAACTAAAATCAATGAAACGCTCAATCGGAATATAAGATTAATAAACTTAACAATCATATCTATTAATTACAGGCTTCACATTCCCTTCCCTAGCCTAAAAAATTGGAGAAAAGGACCGCGAAAGATCGTGGCTTTCTAAAATCGATATAAAATTCATAACGGGACTTTGTCAAAAAATGGGTGTTGACCCAACTAAAATCAATGACAACCCCAAACTCAAACTGACATTAGGTCAATATAGTCATACATCCCCAAAAAATCCCAAAAATAACTATAATTATAAATAAGAAAAAAACCTGTGAAAGATTGTCGATAAACGAATTTAGTTTACTTTCATCATTTAAAAGAACACCAAGTTGATCTTCAGTATAATTTCTGATTGAAGTAACCAGCGTTTGAGTACAAGATTCAAGCAATCCTGGAAGGTCACGGGAACTCATTTTTTAATTTTTCAAAAAATTTCTAAAATAAAAAAAAATTTTTTTCAACAAAAAATTAGAAAAATAAAATTGATAAATTGAACAAAATTTAAGGAACAGAATAAAAAAAATTTTATCTTTAATTTTATTCACCGAAATTATAAAAAGTGAATTTAAAAGAACGTAAAATCTCTAATAGAATGACCAAGCATTTTATTTTTCAATTACCTTCCAAAAAGGGAATTTTATTAGAAGGGGGCAATTAAATGGAGTAGAGATTATATTAGAGATTTTAAAAGGAAAATAATTTTTTTTAATTTATTAGAGATTTTTAAAATATTTTTTGGCTTTTTGTATTTTCAAGGGGAACCAAAAAGATCGGCAAGGGACGATCCTCCACGGGATTTTACGAGATCCCATCCCGTAATCCTGGGTTTTAAGCTAAAAAGAAATTAGAGTGATTAATCTCGCGGACGGGATTCCCGGGAGTTACAGGATTAATCCCGTGGACGGGATTATCGGGATTTACAGGATTGATCCCGCAAGATCCCGTCCCCTATAAAATGTTGAAAAAAACCCATTACGGGATCCTCGGGAATGCGATTTTGCGGACGGGATGCGGACGGGATCCCGTCCCCTATAAAATGTTGAAAAAAACCCATTACGGGATCCTCGGGAATGCGATTTTGCCGGTCTCTAATTAGAACAGAACTGAACAATGAAAAAATATTTTTTGAAAAGGTAACCGGTTTCATACCACTAATTTAGTTTACCAATTTGTAAGTCAATAATTGTGTTTATATTTAACCTAATTTACTACATCAATTTCATCTTCAGATGGCCTAATATTTTGTTCAGCAATTTCACGTTCCTTTAAAACGGTTGGAGTACTATGTAATTCGAGAAAGTTTATTGCACCGCCATATCTTTCACTGAAAAATTATTTTTAGACTAACAATGTTTTCTAAAAATACGGAAAGCTACAACTTGAGACCGTGAAAATCTCAAAAAAATCTTGGCCCTTGAAGTAGTAAATTAATTGCCTTTAGCCTGGGGAACGTCTGGACTAGAGCTCGAACCCGGGTCGGGCCGGAAAAAGCCTTTTTTAGCCCGGAAACCGGGTGTTTTGGTAAAAATCGGATTTTTGGTTTTATGGGTTTTCTAGGTTTTAGCCTGGAAACCCCGGCCAGGGTCAACTTGGAAGAAAAAAAACCCCCCGTCAAATTGAAAAGTTCAAGTTCTAGTCTGAACTATAGTAAAGAAAAAATCAGGACCTATATAAAATAAAGTGCCTGAACATAAGGCCTTAATACAAGAAAAATCCAGACCCTTACTCAAGGCTCAGAAATGACTCAAAAATCACCGACCCAAGAAAAAGAAAATTTTCAGGAGGTCAAAAAAATTTTTTAATTAAAAAATATATTTCACAAAAAAACTAACTAATTAGAACAGAGATCTCTAATTAGAACAGAACTGAACAATGAAAAAATATTTTTTGAAAAGGTAACCGGTTTCATACCACTAATTTAGTTTACCAATTTGTAAGTCAATAATTGTGTTTATATTTAACCTAATTTACTACATCAATTTCATCTTCAGATGGCCTAATATTTTGTTCAGCAATTTCACGTTCCTTTAAAACGGTTGGAGTACTATGTAATTCGAGAAAGTTTATTGCACCGCCATATCTTTCACTGAAAAATTATTTTTAGACTAACAATGTTTTCTAAAAATACGGAAAGCTACAACTTGAGACCGTGAAAATCTCAAAAAAATCTTGGCCCTTGAAGTAGTAAATTAATTGCCTTTAGCCTGGGGAACGTCTGGACTAGAGCTCGAACCCGGGTCGGGCCGGAAAAAGCCTTTTTTAGCCCGGAAACCGGGTGTTTTGATAAAAATCGGATTTTTGGTTTTATGGGTTTTCTAGGTTTTAGCCTGGAAACCCCGGCCAGGGTCAACTTGGAAGAAAAAAAACCCCCCGTCAAATTGAAAAGTTCAAGTTCTAGTCTGAACTATAGTAAAGAAAAAATCAGGACCTATATAAAATAAAGTGCCTGAACATAAGGCCTTAATACAAGAAAAATCCAGACCCTTACTCAAGGCTCAGAAATGACTCAAAAATCACCGACCCAAGAAAAAGAAAATTTTCAGGAGGTCAAAAAAATTTTTTAATTAAAAAATATATTTCACAAAAAAACTAACCTCCACTCAGTAGATTTATTAAAAGAATCAGAAACAGCAGGATAACGTTTTTCCAATAAATCATCCAAATCTGGAAGTGTATAGTCTTTTGAAGAAATTCCCAATTTTGTAAAAACTGGACCTAAAAAAAATTATTAAAAATTCAAAACCACAAAAAATTTACCTATACTAGCATGTAATTTCTTGCAAATTTCTCTAGGAAAAGCAAATGCTGGGGAGACATAATTAGGGCAATCAATTTTGTCAAAACAGCGTTGGACAAAATAAAAAGATGTGAGGTCGATAACCTAGGAAAAAATTTTGAAAAAAAATTTTTGAAAAATTTTTTAAAGAATTTTTTTATTTTAATGAGAGGGCCTACCAAAAATCCAAAAAAAATATTTTAAAAATCAATTTAAAATCTTTCTTACCCAATAAACATTTTGATTTCGATGTTCTCTTCCACGGCTCATACAATATTTTGAATGATTAAGCTAACAAAAAAATTACATTTTTAAAAGCAAAATTATTAAATTTTCCTAACCTGGTATTGAAGATTGTAATGACGTTCGGGTGGGTCAGTAGGAGTATTTTTTGATGATGGATCACCTTTAAAAAATAAATTATTAAATGAAACTCCAAGGCGAAATTCTAACTATGTTGGTTTACTTGAGAAATCTAACTGATTCTCATGCTCACAAGGAAGAGCAAGGTCGATAACCTATTGCGCCCATTCTTTTGCTTTTCTGGCCCTGATTCCAAAAAGTAAAAAGTTATAGGGTTTCAAAGAGTTTAAATTTTGGAGCTGGGTACCCTTACATTTTTCATATTAAAGAGGAAAATGGGACTTCTTTTCACAGATAATAGAACTCCGAGTTAAGGGTTAAACCTTATTTCCAAAAAATCGACCCAGAACCCGATGCTTACCCGCAGCTTAAAAGTAAACTAACCCACAGCCCTTATCTTAGAATATCAATCTCGGAATAATTTTTAAAAAATTTTCTCTAAATTTTTAAGCAAAACCCCAAAAGAATAAAAAAATTTTATTTTACGATTATTCTCGTCTTTAGAATTGTCAACATAAACACAAATAACACGCCACATTCGAATTTCAGCTCTTGAATTAAATCGACGAAAAACTCGAAGCATATAAGCATCTATAAAAGGAAATGGAGAAGGAATGTTATCACGACCACCAGTTAATTCAACAACTTTTGAATAAAATTTATCAGAAGATGATGGAGGATTACTAAAAAAATAAAAAGTTTTTAATTAATTATTTATTCAGTAGAGATCGAGCTAGGTTAAAGCCTCGGGTTTTTCTGTACCCAGACTCCGATATTTTTTTAGAATTTCCTAGTTTTTGGGGTATTGATAGATTTTTCTTGAGTTTTCTTGTATCTAGGCCTAGGTATGTCTTGGGAGTTCCTAAGGTTTTGGGCTTGAATTTTGTCTGAACTCTGGCTAATTGTCAGAGCAGTGGATTTGAAAATTAGTCAATGCCCAGAGAGATTTAATAAAAATTTCACTTATTTAATTTTATTTTGGGAAAAGAAAAAAATTGTGTGCTCGGGATGGTTGGTCCCTTACAAATAAGGTTGCCGTTCTCGAACCGGGCCGGCGTTCGAGCCATCTTTTCGGGTCTCGTTTTTATCGAACCGGGCCGTTCGAGTCATTTTCGGGCCAAAATTCGATGCCCGATTTGACCTATCGAACCGACCCAGGCCGGCAACCCTACTTAAGGACAAAAAAATTCTAAAAATATTTAAAAACCTGTTTGCAAGCACTCTAGGAGCAACTCTAGGCATAGCAAAACTAGTAGATGGTTGTTGTACATTCTGTTCATTTTCCTCTTCTTCCACCCTCACCACATCCAAATTTTCAACATTTATAAAAGGTTCAATTGCTCCCTCTTTTCCCATAGAATGTCTTCTTCTTAACGCCTCAACTGTCGCATTAAGAGCACAAACGGCTGGTAATGAGCTCAAATTGACCAATTCGAGTTTGTCGTAGCCAAATGGGATTACAAGCGAGTCAAGAAAGATTTTTGCATTTTTGGGTGATTGTTGGCCATTTTCTGGTAAATTAGTCAATAATTTAAAAAAATTTAAAAAACCTTCATAAAAACGGCAATAATCCGCTAGTCGTAAAATTGCATCCTTCCCACATTTGCTAGATTGGAAAATTCGAAAATTGCGGTTCTTTGTATAAACACAAATGTCACAAAGAAAAATTGGGCTGTCTTTTGGACCGTTGAGAATACAACAATTTGATTTTAATAAATTGCTGAAAGTGAGAAAAAAAATTTTTTTGAAAATTTTAAAAAGAAAATTTTGAAAAAAAGATTAGAAATAAACTCAATTTTACGAATGATCAATCGAGGAAAAATTTTTTAAATTTTTTCTGTCATAATTATTAAGAGTCTGGACTAGGGTAGTCGGTTCCTAGAAATTCTTCGTATATTCAAAACCAACCGATATACGAACCAAAAAATCATGGCTCTTCGGTTCGGTCCAAAACCGACAACCCTAGTCTGGGCACAACGGCGTCTTGACCAGATTTTTAGGGCCCTAAACCTAGTATTTTTTATAAAACTAGGTCAAGGTTTCAGGTAATTCAGTGTTTTAACAATAGAAATCCGGTCTTGGTCAGTTTACACGAAGGAAACATGAAAAGGTGCCCAAAATTTAAAGAAAATAAACCTGCAAATAAACATAACAATAGTTTTCAAGGCCACATTATTCGGAAAAAGTTTTTCATTTTCTCCTTCCTTAACATGTACAATAACATGGGCACTGAATTTTGAAGTGCTTGAAGAGTCCAAAATGAGAAAATTTTTGATCGGGTCCAAGTCAATATTTAAAAGTGAATGTAATGAACGGCAGACGATTTTGCAAAATTCTTCAGTCAATTTAGGCCCACTAGCTTCTTTGTTAACATCATAAGGAAATTCAAGGTCAAAATATAACCGACAAGGGTAGTCTTCCAAAACAAGTTCGTAAAAATGACGCATCTCAGGTGCACATTCACGATACCAAAGATAAAAGTCGCGAAGTTCTGTTGCGATAAATTTGCGACAGCCTGAAAAAGAAAATTTTTTTTTAATTTGAGTGGGTAATAGAGATCGAGCTGGGTCTGGACGGCTGAACATCTAGTAGAGATCAAGCTGGACCAAGGCCTGGGATTTCCTGTGCTAGTCACGGCCCAGGCATTTTTGACCTTTCTTGATTTTTTCTGGGCCTGGTTTTTTCTGGACAGGCCCAGGATCCGGTCCAAGTCAATAAATCGAACCCATAGTCCAGGAACAGGCCCAGGCCTTTAAAAAAGCTCGATCTCTAGTAGGGAATAGTGTCGCTTGTCTCCCCTTCTCTTAAGTTTTATTGATGATGCACGACAGCAAAACTAGGGAAATTTTTTAGGGAGGAGGAAAGGAAGACAAACAATTGTTCAAGACCGGCCAATTTTCCAGGCTCAAATGTCTTAAAATTCCCAATTTGAGGGTTTCTGCAGGCGAAAATGAGCTAATTGTAAACAACCTACTGACTATGTATTATAAAAAAATTTTTAAAAGAAACCTGGCTTAAAATGAATATCTTCAAAAGAAAATACACGCGCATTAGGAGACTTTTTCAACTTCATCTTATTTATAGCTTCATGTTGACGAGCTTCAATTGGAAATTTTTTAAGTAATGGACCGACAACACTCATTCTCTAAAAAATAAAATAAAAAATTTCTAAAAAAATTAGAGGCTACTACAAAAAATTTCAAAAAACTCTACAAAAAATAAAAAAATTGTTAAATTTGAAATAGGCACCAATTTATTAATTTGGCGTTGTGTTTAATTTAGGACTATTAGAGTATTATCAGTTAACAAAAATTTTTTATTTTCTTCGATTCTTTATCAATTTTTCTCGATTTTGTTTTTGCTTGATTACATATTAGCCTATAAATTACGCAATTCTAAAAACTTTTACGGGACAGGATTTTTAGGGTTAGATTTCCATCTCGCAAAATCCCGCAAATCAAAAAATTGCGGGATTGTGACTAGAGCCCGACAAAAGCGAACTTCCGTGATCCCGTGTCGGGATTTTTTTCTTAACCAATGCCAGGACGGGATCCCGAGGGGTAAATCCCGAAAAAATTCCGGATCTCGAAAGATCCCGAAACTCAAAAAGATCCTGGATTTTGGGATCGGGATCCCGGAAAATCCCGTCGGGATCCCGTTTCGCGCCGGTCTCTAATTGTGACACGGGATCCCGCCACAAAATCCTGCGTGGTGATCTTGTCCCGTCCCGCGCCAATCTCTAGTTTTTATTAGGCTACTGCGCAGTACTACGTCTTTTTTATTATTCACCGATATTTGTTTAATCTTTTTCTAGATCCTTATCTTTTTTAGTGCATTTTTAAAAATGGTAGCTCGTGCTAAATCGGGTTCTCCGCCTATTAAAATTATGAAAAAGAGCGAAATTCAATCTTCAAGTAATTTTGTGGAAGAAACTGCCTTTGGAGAGAATTTACAAATTGGTTGTTTTGATGATACTTTCAAGTTTATTTTTAATTAAATAACCTTAAATTGTTTTTATTTTAAGAAAATTCTTCGCTTATTCTGGTGGTGATGTTATTTCTTTTAATGTTGATAGTGGTGAAAGAATTCGAGTTTACAGGCATAAAGGTTCTGTGGTTATTGGTGTCTACTTTCAGGATAATTTGGTTTACTTTTTTAACCTTATTAAACCTTAAGTCATTGTGATTGGGCGAGTTTATACATATTCATGACTGATTGTTTTAACTCCTTCCACATGGTATCTGTTGCAAAAACCTTTTTTTGCCTGTCGGGCAGCGAACTCCGTATAACTTGCTCCCTCCTCATGGCAAAACCTTCCATGGATACCATGTAGAAGGGGTTGAAACAAGTGGTAATGGCTGTCGAAACTTATTTGATCAAGTTATTCTTTTGGTCATTCCACATGAGCTTTTTTAAATGAACTATCATTTGTGTATTCTACTTTTTCATCCCTAAGTTCGAGGCGTAGCCAGGGTGTGAGCTAAAGCCCCCCCCCCCTCTGAAATGGGAAAAATCGACTTTTTGGATACGCACTTGCCTAAGCGTCTAGTTATTGCATAAAACTTTATTATATCAAAATCTTTCAAGTTATTATCTTTCACTAATTTACCACAATATTTTCTTTGGAATGTGGATAATGGGGATCAAATAGCTTCAATTAACATTCAACTTCCTTCTGATCAATTAGCTCTCTGGACGTATAATTTCGATGGAAAATATTTTATTCTTGCTCAAAGTATTGAAAATACGAAAAAATCACAAGTTAAAACAACGAAGAGTTCTGTCAATGAAAATCAAGGTTTCTTTGAATTTTTTTGCTGAAATTCATTATAATCAATTTACAGAATCTTCTCTTTTCGAAATTCTCCAACTCAACACAACTCAAAATTCTTCTCAAAAATCGAAAGTTTCAACTCGGCTGGTTGCTCAACTAGAAAACACTCCTCCTTCAAAAGCTCATTTAGCTGTTTATTCTGGATTTTTTGTAAAATGTGAAAAAAGAATTGTAAAAATTTATGCTTTTGGCGAGGATGATGAGGAAGAAAATGAAGATGAAAATTTGGCAAATGGTACAAATGAAGATGAAGAAATGGAGGAGCATGTAAAAGGAGGTTCAAATTCGGCTGTGAAATTGCCGTATGTATTTTTTTATTTTGGTTGGGGATTAGGTGTCGTTTTTGGAGACTTTACCATTTTTGAGACCTAGATGTGTTTCGGAAAAAAATTTCGAAAAAATCTCGGTTCTCGTACGACTTCACAGACCGGTTCTCTTCTTATAAGGCTTTAAATTTTTAATCTCCTCTTTTTCCTCTACTATGATTCGGTTATTATTAATTGGTAACAATATGTATTAGTTGTTTATTCTTTTTCTTGACAACAATTTTCAAGAGCATATCCAAGGGGGTCTATGCCTTCCAAAAATTCAAAAATTTTAGTGTGGTTGCGCCATTGTCAATTTCCTCGCCCAAACAATATTTTTTACTTTTATAATTTTAAAATTAAGTAAACGTCGTGAGTACCATATTGATGCTAAATTCGATGTTGTTGATCAAAACCTTGTTGAATTTAAAGAAGTTGTTATTGCTGGAAATTCGTTGTATGCTGTGTTGAATATTGGACGTGTTTATTGCTGGTTTTTATTTTTTAAACTATTTTTAAAGCTTTATATTTTAGGACCGATTTTACAACGAGAGGCTTGTCAACTTTCAATCTTTCTCATTTTACTTTGTCTGGGTATAATTTTTTTTAAATTTTTTTGAGGAAATTTTTTTAAAGATGCTTCTAGTTTTTGGGAAATAGTGAATGAACAAAATTTTTTGGATATTCGGGCTTCTTTTTTCTTTTTGGGTATACGGAATCAACGGCACGCGGACATATTGTGACGGACATATTAGGTTATTTAAATGTACGAACATTTACCCTACTGATTTCGGGACCTACGGCCACTGGTGTCTTGGATAGTATATTGTCCTGTTGAGGAATAGAGTTTTTATGTTTAAAACAAATGTAAACACGCAATAAATTATTTTTGTCACCTCAATCACGATATGTCCGTTCCGATATGTCCGCACACTGAACCAACACTTGTATTTCGCGGTGTCTTTAAAATTTTTCGAAAACACTCCTAATTCTCTCATCTTTTAAAATTTATTTTTAGGTACGAACCAACAATTTGCGTTTCGGATATTGGAACTTCATTTATAGGCTTTGGAAATGCACAACTTTACAAATACAATTTAACTGCTTCGAGGTTTAAAATTTAAATTTTTATTAATTAATTTTGTATTTTTTAAAATAAATTTTTTAGTGGTGTTGGAAGATGGATTTCACATGAACATTTATTACTCGAATCACCGCCTCGTTCTTTGCTGCTTTGTGGTGATTTTACTAAAATGGCTGTTTTGTTGAGGGATAACACTCTTTGTTTTATTAGTACGGCGCAAATGCAACTAATTTCACGTGCAGAGGTTTGTTTGATTTTTATTTTGCTTGATTTCTTTCAAGTCTCTTGGGGAATTCTGAATTTTAAGGACCTCATTTTCATGTAGATTTATCACTTTTTAATTTTTTAGTTTCCATGGGTTAGATTTCAAAAGAAGTTCTGATACCGGAAAGTTCCGACGTTTTTTGTTACGGGACCCGGAACTCAAATTGGATCCGGCTCCGGTTTACAAATCGTTTACTGTGAAACACTACTATGGGTATAACAAGCGAAAATAGGAAAGAAATGACGGGCATATCCAAGAGGTAAGGTGGAGGGAGCAATTTTTAAAATTTTTTGAATCCTCTACCCTCGAAATTCCCCTTCTGAATACTCCATTTAGGAATTAGAATTGGCCCATAACGTTCAAACTTCTTGGATATTCTTTTATTTTTTTAAATTTATTTTTCTATAGGTTTTACACGTTTTGTGTCTTCCTGAACAATACAATAATGAAAATTATCGTTTCTCAATTACTAATGATCCGGCATTGGAAAATGAATTATTATTTGTTGCAAATGCGCGGCTAGGTCATATTCAATGGGTTGACCCTCTTTGTTGGCAAACTACTTGTATTGTAAGAATTTTTTGGAAAATTAAAATTTTTTTTGAATTTTTTCATAGTTGGACATTGCTGAAGAAAATGGCCCTCCACCCCAAGATACTTTTAACATGCCTAAATTTCAATGGTTAAATACTTATTTGGTTTGTTTAAGTATGCAAATGCTTGTTAGTTGTGAATCTGGTCGAGATAATCCTGAAAAGGTTTTTCTTTTTAAATTTTATTTTTATCACGAAACCCGTCTTAAAAATTTTTTGTATTTTCCCTTGACGGGGCTAAAATTGGGTTTATTGTTAGCTTCTTCAGACACGTCACCAGGTTGATGAAGAATCCCTCTCTTTAAAAATATTTTTCTGTCCTCCGCTTTTCTGTCACAGATCTAGAAACCCATGCCATAATGGTATTTGCTCAATGAGACCTCCCGAGCAGGGTAGCACGCAATTGAAAAAAAAATTCCGCAACTCGCAATTGCGTGCAGCCCTGCTCCCGAGGCTTCCATTAGATTATGTTATATTTTTTTTACTTTTTCAATCGTTCATTTTCCAGACATTAATAAAATTTTGGAGACGATCAAAAAGCAAATCTTTGGCAAATGCTTCTTTTAAATTGGAAAATTGTGTCGAATTACTTGATAAACGAATAAAATTTTTACGTTCTACATTTGATGAATTTACAAACATACCTTCGTCATCTAATGCTAATGAAATGGAATTATCGGTAAACAATGAAGAATTTATATTTGTTTACTCAACTGGATTAATCGACATTTACAAAAGAGATGCTTCGAGAAGGTTTTTCATTATTTTTATCTTTATTTTTTTAAATGACTTTCAAGGGAATCTGAGATTTTCGGTTAGGGTTGTTCGCAGTTTTATTAATCAGTATTCTGTAGGGATTGGATTAGGCTGATTCTAAACCCAGAGGTTTATGTTGGAATGGTCGTGGTATTTAGAAATCCAGAACTTCAAAAATTTTGGAATTTTTGGCTCGAAAATAATGAACGTTGGAGATGGGAAACCTAAACAAATTTTTAAAAATATTGTATATTACGGGAAATTATTTGAGTGGATATTTGAAATATGGTTCCTAATTTTTTTTAATTTTTGCATGAGATATTGGTGGGGTTTCAGACGCTGAATACCATGAGTGTTTTAAATTCGAGGATCTCAAAATTTGGATAATAAATTATTTTTTTAATTTTAGATCATCTCATTGGTCTGTCGATTTAAAAAGGCGTGAATCAAACTGGCAAAGATGTTTAATAACTTCATGCTCTAAAGTTCGCCAACGCTTATTTGCAACAATTCAAATATTGAACGATTCCACATTTATTGTTTTGAGAAATGTTGATGAAATGAAAATTACTCGAGTGATTGATAATCTTGTGGATGCAAAACAAGTATATTTTGAAAAAAATAGTTTGAGTTTTTTGAAATTTCTGACCTTAAAAAAGTTTTTTAATTTTTACGTGAGCCAAGGTTTTAGACCAGGCATGGTAATGGGCATGGATCTTCATATCCGGATATATACGGGGATATAGGAGGATATCCAGAGGCATCGATATTCCCTGTATCCTTATCCATTACCAAGTCTGTTTTATACTCTGAAACCCTTTAAACACAGAAATCCCCGATCTGCTTAAAATGTCAGATTTAGGGTAGGGTCCGGTTCAGGGTTGAACTTAAGAAAAGTTTGATATTTTAAACTTCTCACAAGCAGACATTGATTCAAAAAATATTTAATTTTAGGATAATTTACTTTTTTTCTTTTTGTAAAGGTTGAATGGTCACATTCTCCAAACATTTTAATTGTTTTATGTGCTTCTGGATTAGTTGCTTTTAATTGCAAAAAAGAAAATCAATTAAATCCTCTTTGGATTATCAAACAACCCAATTTTGTTAATTTAGGCTCTAGTCGTTCTTTTACATTTACACATAATGGACAAGAAGGTTTTGAATTTTAAGAAATTTTTATAAGAAATTTAATTTTAAGTTCATCTATTAAATCCTGAGGATGGAACTATTAATAATTTTATGGAAGATATTCGGTTTAGTCACCCCCAAAAGAGGATAATTGCTTTACAAAAACATTCGAAAGATAAAAGAATATGTAACAACATTTATTTTTGTGGAATTAATGATCAGGTTAATTTTTAAAAATTTTTGATAGATTTTATAAAGAATACGCTGACTTCAGCATAAGATATACCCAATATTAAACACTTTGGTTGGCCACCGGGTTGGGGAAGTTTTCTAAAAGATACTTCCAATTAATTTATTTTTTACTCGACCAAGGCTTCAGCTTCGAAAACTACGAACTCCAGAAATTCCCGTTTTATAAAAAATGTCAGGTTCGGGAGTCAGACTGGTCCTGGTCTTAATGCATCTACCGACCGATAAATTTTCTACCGACCCAATGTCTACAAGTACTCCTTGATTATTTTTTATTGGGATTTAAAGGCTACGATTTTTTCGACGTCAATATTTTATCTTTTACTGAAGTCAGGGATAGACTTTAATCAAAATTTAATTTTTATTTATTTTTAGGGATCTTTCACACTTATTTCACCAAAATTGCCTTCTATTGAAGAAAAGAATCAAATTCAAATGGAAGAAGAAAATTGCAATATTATTAATAAAAATTTAAACAAAAAAATAAAATCAGAAAAACAGACAGCATTTTCTCGATTAGTTGAAATAGATGAAGAAAAGAAGATTGAAAAGAAGAAAAGGAAAAATAAAAATAATGAAGAAGAAGAGGAAGAAGATAAATCCTTAAAGAAGCCTCGTTATTTATTAAAACAAGTTTCTATCAAAAAAATTATTGATGGCCCAGCATATACTTTACCTTCAATTTCGGTATTGGCACAACGTTTTGTTCAAGCATGTCTAGTAAGGAGACGGTCTTAAAAAATTTTTTTGATAATTATTGTTAGGGATTTTTTGTTAACATCTTTTCAGAATTTTTTTTCAATGTTTCCTTGTTTTTCTATGTTTCAGAAAAATGTCCTACAAAAAATCTTTTTACATTTTGTTAAAGTTGTTTTTTTTTTGATTTTTCAGATTTTAAAATTTTTATCCCTTAGAGGGATTTTGGGAGTTGTTTGAGTGAATTTTTTTACAAATTCTCTATACACACAAATTAGGCATACAAAAAATAAGCATAATATAATGCTAGAAATATAATATTTCTGTTTATTAATGTAGTTTTTATATTCTTCCTTAAGCCGCCTCTACCTTTTGTTCATCTTTATGGTGTTGGAGTTTTTGAACCTTTCTAAAAATAAAAAATAGGTATTGGTTATCAGTGCAGGACCTCTTACCTGTGATTTCTCAAGTTTTTTTTCAGAGGCAGCAAAAGTGAGTTGTGGTGATGACTAAAAAAAGAATGGTTTTTTAAATTATTAGACGAATCCGTTTTACTTGTGATTTTTGAAGTCCTTGAGTTGATGAAGCTCCTTGAATTGGCATATAAATAACTGTAGGCCTTTCACCGATTACTGTTGGAGCAATGATTAGCGGAGTCATTCCAGCTGGAGGGTTGTCAACCATTTGTATTGTCCTTTCATCAAAAACATTACGATTTATCACTGTCGTTGGTGTTAATTTTTTAGAAGAATGAAATTGAGTGAAAGAGCATCCAAGCTCTAAATTTACTTGCATTACAGCACCAGCATTGTCAAACTGAAAATTACTAGTTTTAGGTTTTTAATTAATATCTTTTCGCTAACCTCTCCGCAATAGTTAGGCGCGGAAAATATCGTGATGAGACGTTGCGTAGGGTGTAAAGCATACCCGTCCATAGTAACTTCATGACCTCGTACAATCAAGTCTATATCAACACGTCGACAAAATCCATTAAAACATCGTTACCAAAAGTAAAACTGATTCCACGCGGACTAGGCCGCCACCCTTTTGTTTGTGCATCCGGATCAGCCCAAAGAAGATCTGTAGCAAGCGGACCACTTTCTTTGGGGTCCTTCCACCCTCGTTTTAACTTTTTCAAATCTTTAAGTGATCCTAAGTGTTGCGAGATGCCTCCGTGCATACACAAAATACGACCTGTAAAATGTTTTGAAATTATAACGAAAAAAAAGGAATTTCTCGCCTCCAACTAGTGCAGTTATAGGCATTTGCGCAAAGGCGTTGTTAAACGTGTCCCATAATTTTTCATAATTATTCCCAAACTTTTTAGATATCTCTTTTTTGAATCCATAAACGGCGTTAATAGAAGAAGTTTCGTGGTTTCCTCGAATCATAAAAAAATTCTTTGAAAATTTGATTTTGTAGCAAAACAATAAAATGATTGTCTCAATTGACTTCTCGCCTCTGTCAACATAATCTAAAAAAGGGATCTTTTTTAATGAAAAAAGAGACGGTTTTTACCCCCAAGAAACAGATATTTTGTCGAGGGCAGTTGCTTTCCGGGTTGGCCAATTTTATTGAACAATTCGATTAAGTCATTGTATTGCCCATGAATATCTCCACATATCGTTATAGGGGGGTTCAACTCTAACACTACAGGCTGCGTTTCAAATACTTTCATTGCTTGATGGATTATTTTGTTGAGAACGGCAGGATTCACCTAAGAATGAATTATAATTATAAATAAGATTATCATAACCCAAACAAAATAAAGAAACCCACCCCAATAATGTCACGTGTACACAAGAGATGATTCAAAAGGCTGTCGACGTCCATGACTATTAATGATATAATAACTTGTTTGCGACACAAATAAATAAAGTGAAGAACGCGAAGAGAGGTGGAGACGTGCGTCAGCGTTAAGCTTTTATAGTATGCGTCCAGTTTGAAATTAGGTATATAAACAAATGTTTTGATGACTTAAAATTTATCTCATTCTACGAGAATTAAAGTTAAGAGGAGTAAGGCGGTAGTGATGGTTCGGCATTAGTTTCCGGTATACCGCATTATTTTTTCTCGGATCCAATTCAATCATTTTTTATATAAATCAACTTGCGTTCGTTATCTCTCTTGATATGAATTATGCTCTTGTTTAAGGATCTGGAAGCTTGTTTAGGGGTCGGGAAACTTGAAATCGCTATAAATAGTTTCGAGCTAATATTATTAATACAGTCGAACCTCTTTAATTTCAGTCGAATCTCTGTTTTTATTACTCCATTTGTGCTAAATAAATCGTACTTAAAAACGAGAGCTATCTTAAATTGAGGGTATCGCTTATGTACCAAACCAATGGACAAACAAATCTTAGAAATTTTATCTAAGACAAGCTGAAATTTGTACCTTATGCTGTCAGGCAGTGTTGGGCAAAGTTCCAGTTCCGAAACTAATTAGTTCTAGTTCCAGAACTAGAACTACGGAACTAACGATTATCTGGAACTAGTTTGGAACTAGAACTACGGAACTAGTAAATGTCTGGAACTAGCTTTGGAACTAGTTCCTGGGGGTATATTTTTGACAAAATTTTTCGACGAAGTTTACGGTATTTTTAATATTGTTGTAATAAATATAAGCTAAAATAAGACTATAATAAAAAATGAGTATAATTAATATTTATTTTCTTGTGTATTTTACTTATAAAATTTGGTGTAATTTTTTTCAAGGCTAGGTCTTGTATTATTTGTGAATATGCCTTTGCCTTAAAAATTGATACTTTGTGAACATTTTTTAAAAATATAAGCAAATCTTTTGTTAACATCGCATTTTCTTAAAAATACCAATAAATTGTGATTGAATTTGGGAACTGATATACTTTGAAAAAAATTATGGATAATTTTACGTTCAATTTTATGGTCAAAATTTTCTCTATAAAAATCAAGTAAAGTAGTATTAAATGGTGATGAACTCAATTTTTACTTTTAATCACCAATCAAGTGCGAGCAACAATCAAGCTGATCGAAATAAAATTTTTTAATAAAATTTTTAATAGAGATAAGGCGTAATTCGATGGTTTAGTATATTTTTGAATTGTTCTATATAATTGGAATGCGGTTTTAGAAGAAAACATTAGGAAGCTTCTTATCGTTTCAGCTTTATGTTGGTGTTTGGATGCTTGGTTAAGCAATTATACATATCATATTTTTCTACAATTTTAAATCAAACACATATAAGCACATCCACCTTCTATTGGCCTCTCTATCATGTTTTAAATCGGAAATTATAAGAAAAAATTGAATGGCAATCTCTAGAAGAATGTCTCCCTTAATTGAATGTTAAGTAAATATAAATACAGAAAATATCCTATAAACAAAGCGGACAAAGATTGCCACCCTAACATGTTTTAAATCAAAAATAATAAAAAAATTTTTTAATACACAAAAAAATATTTTCAATATAAAATATTTTCAATAATTTATAAATTGACAAATTTAATTTTAAATTTTTAAATTTAAACTGGTCATTTTCTCATACATGTTTTTTTCTAATTATTAAAAAATGTGCCAGTTGTTTTTTGACTTAGAATTATTGTAAGCTTCAAAAATTTTTTTCAAAAATCCTTTATAATCAAGACTTCTTTCTTCAAGTTAATTTTATTATAGCGGGACTTGAATAGAAATAAGTTGACTTGCAGCATTATTTCAGACAAGCTTATATTTTGTACTTTAGTGGAAAACGGAGTTGCTTCCTAATTTATCTAATATACTTATGACTAATGTTCGGCAAACGGCTTTTTTCGGTATTCGATATACAGAGGATTTGAAGGGGTAATTCCAAGGCTGCCCCCTTTTTTTCTGTTCGCCTGACCAGTTTGAGCATTTTTGCTTGACATATTATTTACAATACATATATCATTCGAAAGAGCTGTTCGAGCTGAGTAGAATGATACTATGATCGGTTCAATTTGGAGATTCTGAACAAAATTATGAAGCTAAATCCTCGATGGACTTGCTTTTTGTGATGTTGTTTGGGATTAAAACAAATGGTCATAACTATGTTTATTTAAGTCGGATTTCGATGATTTAGTACCGTTCGACTCAGCCTGAAGAACTCTTTCGAACGATATATGTCAAATTTTGTGAGGATTAGGTAAGAGTATAATCCATGGTATAACCTTAATCTGGGAAGATGATTCCTGATGATTGATTGAAGGGATATCGGAGGATTAAGGTGGATATGAGGGAATTAATTGTGATCCTTCCAAGAGTCAATCAATATTAATCTGTTTATATTTCAATAGGTTCGGGGTGTAATAACAGCTGTAGATTTTATTAGGAATATTTATATTTGTTGTATTATCAGCTGTTAGTCTGATTATGCCCCTTTATATTGGTATAAGTTGGGGTCGTATTATCTGCTGTTAGTCTGATTATGCCCCTTTATATTGGTATAAGTTGGGGTCGTATTATCAGCTGTTAGTCTGATTATGCCCCTTTATATTGGTATAAGTTGGGGTCGTATTATCTGCTGTTAGTCTGATTATGCCCCTTTATATTGGTATAAGTTGGGGTCGTATTATCAGCTGTTAGTCTGATTATGCCCCTTTATATTGGTATAAGTTGGGGTCGTATTATCAGCTGTTAGTCTGATTATGCCCCTTTATATTGGTATAAGTTGGGGTCGTATTATCTGCTGTTAGTCTGATTATGCCCCTTTATATTGGTATAAGTTGGGGTCGTATTATCAGCTGTTAGTCTGATTATGCCCCTTTATATTGGTATAAGTTGGGGTCGTATTATCAGCTGTTAGTCTGATTATGCCCCTTTATATTGGTATAAGTTGGGGTCGTATTATCAGTTGTTAGTCTGATTATGCCCCTTTATATTGGTATAAGTTGGGGTCGTATTATCAGCTGTTAGTCTGATTATGCCCCTTTATATTGGTATAAGTTGGGGTCGTATTATCAGCTGTTAGTCTGATTATGCCCCTTTATATTGGTATAAGTTGGGGTCGTATTGTCAGCTGTTAGTCTGATTATGCCCCTTTATATTGGTATAAGTTGGGGTCGTATTAACAGCTGTTAGTCTGATTATGCCCCTTTATATTGGTATAAGTTGGGGTCGTATTATCAGCTGTTAGTCTGATTATGCCCCTTTATATTGGTATAAGTTGGGGTCGTATTATCAGCTGTTAGTCTGATTATGCCCCTTTATATTGGTATAAGTTGGGGTCGTATTAACAGCTGTTAGTCTGATTATGCCCCTTTATATTGGTATAAGTTGGGGTCGTATTATCAGCTGTTAGTCTGATTATGCCCCTTTATATTGGTATAAGTTGGGGTCGTATTATCTGCTGTTAGTCTGATTATGCCCCTTTATATTGGTATAAGTTGGGGTCGTATTAACAGCTGTTAGTCTGATTATGCCCCTTTATATTGGTATAAGTTGGGGTCGTATTATCAGCTGTTAGTCTGATTATGCCCCTTTATATTGGTATAAGTTGGGGTCGTATTATCTGCTGTTAGTCTGATTATGCCCCTTTATATTGGTATAAGTTGGGGTCGTATTATCAGCTGTTAGTCTGATTATGCCCCTTTATATTGGTATAAGTTGGGGTCGTATTATCAGCTGTTAGTCTGATTATGCCCCTTTATATTGGTATAAGTTGGGGTCGTATTATCAGTTGTTAGTCTGATTATGCCCCTTTATATTGGTATAAGTTGGGGTCGTATTATCAGCTGTTAGTCTGATTATGCCCCTTTATATTGGTATAAGTTGGGGTCGTATTATCAGCTGTTAGTCTGATTATGCCCCTTTATATTGGTATAAGTTGGGGTCGTATTATCAGCTGTTAGTCTGATTATGCCCCTTTATATTGGTATAAGTTGGGGTCGTATTGTCAGCTGTTAGTCTGATTATGCCCCTTTATATTGGTATAAGTTGGGGTCGTATTAACAGCTGTTAGTCTGATTATGCCCCTTTATATTGGTATAAGTTGGGGTCGTATTATCAGCTGTTAGTCTGATTATGCCCCTTTATATTGGTATAAGTTGGGGTCGTATTATCAGCTGTTAGTCTGATTATGCCCCTTTATATTGGTATAAGTTGGGGTCGTATTAACAGCTGTTAGTCTGATTATGCCCCTTTATATTGGTATAAGTTGGGGTCGTATTATCAGCTGTTAGTCTGATTATGCCCCTTTATATTGGTATAAGTTGGGGTCGTATTATCTGCTGTTAGTCTGATTATGCCCCTTTATATTGGTATAAGTTGGGGTCGTATTATCAGCTGTTAGTCTGATTATGCCCCTTTATATTGGTATAAGTTGGGGTCGTATTATCTGCTGTTAGTCTGATTATGCCCCTTTATATTGGTATAAGTTGGGGTCGTATTATCAGCTGTTAGTCTGATTATGCCCCTTTATATTGGTATAAGTTGGGGTCGTATTATCAGCTGTTAGTCTGATTATGCCCCTTTATATTGGTATAAGTTGGGGTCGTATTATCAGTTGTTAGTCTGATTATGCCCCTTTATATTGGTATAAGTTGGGGTCGTATTATCAGCTGTTAGTCTGATTATGCCCCTTTATATTGGTATAAGTTGGGGTCGTATTATCAGCTGTTAGTCTGATTATGCCCCTTTATATTGGTATAAGTTGGGGTCGTATTATCAGCTGTTAGTCTGATTATGCCCCTTTATATTGGTATAAGTTGGGGTCGTATTATCATCTGTTAGTCTGATTATGCCCCTTTATATTGGTATAAGTTGGGGTCGTATTATCAGCTGTTAGTCTGATTATGCCCCTTTATATTTGTATGTGCTCTAATAATGTATGTGCCCTAATCTGTTGTGCATGAAGTTCCCTACAGATCAAAAATGACGGAAGCGTCGGAGTCGCCAATCACAAAAAGACTGGTACCAAGTTACAACCATCAACTTATCCATCAAAGCAGCTAGACAAACTTCATATCCGACGAGTACAAGGGGAGCTTCCAGAATGCATATGATGTTAAGAAATGCTTAAAATATGAGTAGGGCATGATTATGGATGTTTTTACCTTATAACGTGGTATTTTTAAAACCGAGGTGAGAAGGATTTTTGGAAGTAGAAGGGATATTGGGAACATTGCAAAAAAATTTCCCCAAACTATGAAAATTGGGTCTATTTTGAGAGTTTTGTTTTTCAAGTTTAGGTTTTCACTTTCAACATTTAAAGAATTAAAAATTAATTTTTAATTTTTTTTATATTTTAAAAAAATTGATTTTTAATTTTCTCTCCATTATTTTCACCTATTGCCATCCTATGACTTTTTATCACATGCCAAGATTAAGGAGGGGGTCGATATTTTCTTTTAAATGCTTAACACATGGGCTAAGGCATGACTATGGATTTAAAAAAAAATTCAAAATGCCTATCTTCTCCCCCTCACTTCTCGCTCCCTCTAATCCTCCTCCTTCCCCTACAATCCCCCCTCTTCCCCTCAATTATTCTTCTCCTTCTCCCCCTACAATCCCCCCTCATTCCTTCAAATTCCCTTCCCTTCCAATCTCCTCCCTTCAAATTCCCCTCCTTTTTCCCTTCTCACCCCTCCAATCCTCCCTCCCTTTCAACCCCCTCCTCCTCTCCTCCATTCGAATCCTTTTTCCCTTCAATCCTCCCTCCCTTACAATCCCCTCCTCCCAGCTTCTCCCCTCCTTCTTCAAATTTAATTCACCCCGCCCCAAGGTTTATCTTTGAACATTTATATAAATATATTTCAATTTATTAAATTAACTCATTCATTTTAAAAATCCCCAGCTTCATTCCCTCTCCTCGATTTCCTTGTAAAGAAACAAATTAAGGCGTTAAGCAATGCTTTATTATTTAAACTGGCATGTTGCCAAACATTTATTCAAACTTGGGTTGTTTGTGTCAATAATTGCTTTGACATCATCTTCGATCTGTCGTTAGTAAATTTTTGAAAATTAAAGAAAAATTTTTGAAAAATTTTCTTTCAAAAAATACTTTTTTAAAGCACTTGAAAAACTTGATAAAATATACCCTCGAAAGGACCATGGAGACCAAGTCTATTTTGAGTGTTATCATAAAGGCACATCTCTTGACTTTTTCTTGGTTGGCGATATTGGAGGTAACTTTAAATTTTTATCCTTGAAATCCGGGACAGTAAAAATTGTTTTAATGGACTAAATAAAGGCCGCCGAATTTTCCTAGTAGATAAAGTAAAAAATAACAGTCGGTGTGGGGAAGGATGAGCGGATAAAAATAAGCTTGGTGTTGTGTCCGCACTTGCAGAAAGAATATAAATGAAAATAACCATCATTGGGTTTGATGGTGGCACAGTCGGTTGTGCTTCGGTCTGGGTCCTTTCCATTATGTTTCTATTCCATCTCCCATCCAATGAATTATTCCACAGCATTTTTCCACAATTTTTCCATCGTATTCTTAGCACTTGGGAGACTTAGAATTTTTCTGGAAATGGGGTTACTATAACAAAAATGATACAAGTTTTACAGGAACGGAGATTCTAGATGAAGAAAAGAACCCAGTTGATCACGCTCCATCTAAAGGACAATTCATGGTAGCAAAGGAAATGAAAAGATTAATTCGAAACACTGATTTGTTTGAAGAAGAATTTCTCCCTAAATTTGTTTTGAGTGTAGGAGATAATTTTTACGATGAAGGAATTAGTTTTGATAATGCTAAAATACGTTTTAAGAAGGTGTTTATTGTTTGTTTTTTCGAACAGTTGAGGGTATTGCTTAGTTATTCTTACAAATACTAGGCAACACCGGAAATGTGGAACATTTTTCGGAGAGGCAGCCCCACGAGGGGGGGGGGGGGGGGGGAACTCAAATTCCCCGAGTTTCGGGGACGGCGACCAACCCTATTTCATGCTCATATTTTCCATTTCAATATTTATTTCTAATGCCATAATTCAGACATTCTACAAAGCTTATAGTCGTGTCGGACTACAATGGATCACACTTGCCGGTAACAATGATTACAAAGTGCCTAAAAACGAACAAATAGGAAAAAATGAAGATTTTGAAAATGCTAGAGAACGTGTTTTAGCCCAAATGGCACACACAAATAGTATTTGGTCGGTTTTTATCAAACTAATCGGTCACCTCCTCCTTCTAATGTAAGGCAGAAATAGGATTAGGATATAATAGTTTAACTCTCCCATTGAATTTATTATCCATAGTCAATATAATCTAAAGTTACGCGAAGGAAAGATTAGACGTTTTAAGCAATTCCTAAGGGCATGCCTGATCAGAGGAATTAGTCGTCGCCCGTTTAACCACTCTAAAACGAGCGAACGGTCAATGGCGTTCAGGATGTCAAAGATTATATGTATCTTGACATAAGGACTCAATTTAAGATACCTCTATAAGAATAGAGTAGCTCAAATGCCTAGAGTTTTGATTCTGAAAACGAAGGTAATGTCAATTGATGGTTCGATTCCTGCCTTCTGAAATCGGAGCTTTTGCTAAACTCCTTCAAAACTTAATCACAAATTCAATTTACAGGAAATTTCCTTCTGAATATTATGTACATACTCACTATCTAAAAGGCTTCAATGTAGTCTTTATTATGATAGACACATTTTTGTTGTGTGGGGGATCACGCAAGGATTCCTTAAGTTTGCAAAAAGAAGATGGTTTAAGTGAAGAAGATAAATCTGCCAAAAAATTGGCACAAGAAAAACATTTTACCTGGCTAGAAGAAGCTCTTGATAATTATAGCGGGTAAGCCTTCCTCTTTAATTCTGGTTAGAACAGTCGTACCTTCTATAAGATTGGATTCTGGATATCCGAGGAGTTCCGAAGATCCACAAACCCTAGTAGGATGTTAGGCAAGGTAGCTATCCAAACGATACTCCCAATTTAAGCTACCTTTCATTGTGATATACGATTTTTCATTCTTAAGAGGATATTTTCTCCGTCAAACCTCATTGATGTATAAGCCCTCGGAGCTGAAAAAATTGTAAACTAAAGTTATGGGTATCCTTAAGTTGTGAGGCATAATCTTGACTGCCTTTGTCTAAAAGCTCTGATCTTACGGGTCAAAGAAATAGCCGGGTCGGGGTTTTTAAATTTTACTAGGATCGGGCTTTGGGTCAAAATAATCCGGGTTTCGGGTACCCGTGACATCCTTAACTGGTCAACCTCGCTTAAAAAGCATACACAAAAAGAGTAATAATAATAATAATTTTATAGAGCCAATTATTTATTTGTTGCTGGCCACTACCCGCTATACATGTCTGTAGGAGACCGATCATATACCTGTGCAAATAGATTGAGAAATTTGTTTGAAGAAAATAATGTATATTAAGCAATCTATAGTATCAAAAAAATTTTTCCTGTTTAGATCAGTGCTTATTTAGCTGGACATGAACATTCTCTTAAATATATACAAGTTCAAACGTCAGAAACCTTTACTTTCAATCAGATAGTTTCTGGGGCTGCCACAAAAATGGAAAACTGTTTGCAAGAGAAACATGTTTTGAGTCATTATAAAAATGGGAATAGAATTGAGACTATAAATATGACACCACATTTCATGATCTGGTAAAGTATATCTTATTTTAATACAGTCGGACCACATTATTAAATCCCCTTATGGTAAAATTGTATTTAAGGGAGTAGCTTAAATAGCGGGCTTTGCTTAGATAGTTTCTCACCTCATTGCAGGGCAGGGAAGCCGAAATAAAAATGAAATTCCCTTTCTCGGGAAATCGGAATTCCGACTCAAAAAAACTTAGGGATCCCAGTTGCAGGTAGTTGTTGGGTTGAAAAGATAAGTCATGTCAGTTACAACCCTCATTATAAGTGTCCAACTGGGTGGCTTGCCTAATTTATCAGTCATCTCTATAACGCCTAAAGTTAGCACGTCTCCTTTGCACTTCGGTTCAATTCGTCACGACTGTAGAAGATTACTTTAAAACAAGGAGGGATGTTTTAAAAAACGGATTTATTTTTTTCTTCAATAAAAAATATCTTTTAAGCCACCCTGCTGGGTTAAACGAAATACAATTTGAAGAGAATAGAAAAATATTGAACTTCGAACAAACTGCAAAGAGAGAACTCGAAAAAGAGATTAAAAAAATGGCTGCAATAATTGAAAAAATTAAAAATGATCAAGTAGTACCCGGGGAATTAGTGTATGAACTAGAGAATAAAAAGGCAGAATTAAAAGCCTTGGAGGAGCAGTTAGATGCCGATACTTTTGAGAATGGCGGATTTGTGGCTGTTAAAATAGACAAAAAATTTGCCCGTTTTTCCTTTTTAACTGTTGGAAATCATGAATTGACAAGTTTTGCTAACGAACAAATTGTGAATGGTAAACAGAGTAATCTTGGAGTGGTAAACATTCCAAATCGCTTACCGGAAACTGATGAAGACTACTGATTTAACCAGTAAATGTAATACTTCGGCTGACCCTCACTCCCCCTTCTTTCCTGTTTTCTGACCATTCTGGGCTTTTTTGCTTGACATATAATTTATTATAGTATATCATTCGAAAGATCTGGCCGAGCTGGGAAGATTAATACCACGATGGGATAGATTTGGACTCAAAATTGGACTCACATATAGATGTATGACTTGCGAATCATCTCGAAGATTCTTTCGAATGTATAGTATAATTTGTCATAAAAAATGAAAAGTAGAAAAGAAAAAACGGAGGGGAGGGGGCATCAGCCGAAGTATTACTCCAGTAAACTTGAAGCAAAATTTGACGAGAGAATGTGTACATATTTTAAAAACCAAAAGACTATTTTATTTTAAAATTCCAGTTCATTATTTAAATTTCTTCATACATATTTTAAATTATTTTAAGAAATATTTTCTTTAAATTATTTTTAAAAACAAAATTTTTTAGTTTAGCATTGTATTTTACGATAAAATTTATTTACGATCAAATAGCCAATGGCTGTAAATACATAATTACCCTTAAAATGTTATCCTATCTCTATTAATTACCCTCCTAGGGTCAAAATGAGTCAAAAAATGACGGGGTTTGGACAGTAAAACAGCTGGGCTACAACTACATATTTCTCTCCTTTAGCTAGTGCAAAAGGTTATTCGGCGGCTGAAAGCAAACCAGCATCTTCAGTAGACTGGACTGATGTTATCTATTACACCAGCCGTCTATCGCATAGCCTTAGGAAATATTACCCCCTCTCTATTAATTACCCTCTTATTAATTACCCTCCTATATGCTTTACATAACTTTGGATTAGACTGGGTCGGGTTGCAACTAGGGTTTTGCGTTGATTTTTGGCCTTGTGTTTTGTGTTTTTGGAAATTGTCTCTTGCGTCCGTTCCAACCCTAATACATTTCCAACCCTAATATATTCATAATAATATTTAAAAAAATAAATTTTTTGAGGAAATTTGGGAAACTTGCAAGAAGTTGTGCCCCAAAAATTTTTTTTATTAATTTTTAAAATTTATTTTTAAAAATAATTTTTTCTGTTTTATTCCCCTCTCAATGCCTTTATATTTTATTGATAAGAAAGAAAAAATAGGAAAAATTTTAAACCGTCGGGAGTGAAAGGCAAGAATCATCATCACATCGATTTTGGTAATATTTTTTCTCCTTTCTTTTTCCTTCTCTCGTCGATTTATTTTTTTCGTCTCTATTTTTAAATTTTATTTTGTGACGGTTTAGTGGAGGAAAGGGTTTTTTCATTCATTTACACCCCCTCCTTTTAGGGGCAAACAAACCGATTAAAAAACCTTGCGATCTAGAACGTCTCTTCTTTTTTTTTAATTTAACGGTTGTGTGCAACTGAAAATTTTTTTTCTTTCGTCGCACGATTTTGAATTGAATTTTAGACTTAATTTTTAAAATTTTGACCAAAAGGTGCATAATGGTCAGATTAACAAACACTCGTATCCGTCCGTTGTCCGTTCTGGCAAGTTAAGCAACTTTGCTTCTTTTTATGCCTAGCAACTCGGGTTAAGCAATCTTGGTATCTATGGGCCCTTTCCGTGTTTTCCTTCTACCCCCTCCATTTTTCCTTTCTCAAAAGACGCATAATGGTCAGATTAACAAACTCGCATCCCGTCCGTTCTGACAAGTTAAGCAACGTTGCGTCTTTTTGTTAAGTAAATAGTTTAAGCAAAACCAGACGTCTATGGCACCTTTCTCAGTGTTTTCCGTGTGTCCTCTTCCGTTAATTTTAATTTCAGCCCCCTTCTCTCCACATTTTTCCTTACAAAAATGCATAATGGTCAGACTTTGTTTTCTATTTCCAATTTAACTATTTCCCTGGCATTCAATCAGTCTATGAAGGAGTAATCTGTAGTATATTTTTATAAGGATTTGAGGAAGGAAGGAAGTCTGACCATTATGCGTCTATTTGAAATAAATTTTTTGAAAAATTCTTTAGCAAATTTTTGAAAGATTTTTGATTTTAATTTGGAAAACTTGTCAAAATTAAATTACCGTATTTCCTAAAATAGTACTCCCGGGAGTACTATTTTTCAACCCTCCTCCAAAGGGGAGTACTATTTAAGGGGGGAGTGCTAATTCAGGGGGGAGTACTATTTTTCAACCTTCCTCACTGATTTATCTTGTGAAAATTTATTTCAAAATTCTAAATGTCTAAATCAATTAGATTTCTTAATTTGAAAAATGCTGGATCCGTACATAGATTTTCAAAAAAATTCCTTTATAATTCGCAAAAAATATCCAAATTATTATAAAATTGAGCACATGGCAGGACATTTAAACACAAGTGACTTAAAATAAGGATTATTGAGGGATATCAAGAAGTATATATCAGTGGATTTGGAGTGGGGATTTAAGCTATAAGGGGATTTAAACAATTAAGAGTGAAGCATGCTTTGGACTAAGGTGGATATCGAAAATTGATACATCACTTTTGTTCTTCCGATATCCCTTCGAATCTTATGATATCCATATTTGGCGTAATATCAAGGGATCAAATTATGTAAGTTGGAGATCAGTGAGTTGGATATCTGAAAATTCTTGAATTAGAGGTATCGAAATAAAATCGTTGGGTTGAGGAGGATTCATGATTCAATTTTATCTTAATCACGCTTAATCAACAAAAAACTACTAATATGACTCATCCGTCATTATTCCCTCAAATTCCTTTATCCGCCTTTAATCCAATGATATCTTTTAACTCGCCTGATCAATTCAGAACCCCTTTTATCACCCGATATCAATACACTTATATCCCTCAAATCCACTTTTATCCAGCCACTTAATCACAATATACCTATCTCCTTAATCCTCAACAAATTTACGGTTCGATTTCGGTTAACAGGAAGTTTCGGTTCGGGTTTTCGGTTCGGTTTCGGTTAACACAGAATTAATTGAAACCGACAACCATAATTAGAGTAAATGAAATAATTTAATGAGTCTTTTATAATTTTTTCAAATATAGGGGAAAAATATTTTAGGGGGGAGTACTATTTTAGGGGGAGTACTAATTCAGGGGGGAGTACTATTTTTCAACCCTCCTCCAAAGGGGAGTATTATTTAAGGGGGGAGTGCTAATTCAGGGGGGAGTACTATTTTAGGAAATACGGTAATTAAATTGAAAAATATTTTAATTAAAAAAACAAAAATTAAAAATTAAAGTTTTCCCTCACTAATTTCTTCGCCAAACACCTAAAAACAACACTAAAAATAAAAACATTTTTGGGGTTTTTACATATTTTTTTTACTTTAACATTCCAACAATGAAACTAATCGGATCAGATGATGTTCAGAAAAATGGAGAAAATGTAAGTTTTTTTGGGGGGAGGGGTCGTTTTGGAAACTATTTGGGGAGGCCTTTTTAAGGAGAATGTAGGGAAGGTGTATTTGGTATATAATAGTGATGCTCTGGTATATGCTCGGGTATCACGATCCCGACTCCTGAATCGGGAAATTTTTCCAAGTTTTTGGTCTCCAGACTCTCGATGTATTTTCCGACCCGTTTCCTAATTCCCTGTTTTTCTTCTCCCGAGCATCACTAGTTTATAGGTTGTTGTTTCTACTTAATATATAAAATATTTATTATGCAAAAATAAAATTTTTAAATAATCTAATAAAAAAATATTTCTTTTTTGTGATTTACGATTTGTGCGATAATTTCTGTAATAAATCTTCCCATCTTTCTGCAAGATCAAAGGGACACAACTTTGGAATAAAACAGAAATGGGGTATTTAATTCCCATTATTTCCCCTTTATATTCAATAGAAGCATGGCCCAAATAGACCCCCATCCAATTAGAGGCCCCCCACTGAGGCTCATTGAGAAATGAAGATTTATTTTTACAACAGAAGTCTATGCACTATTAGAAGGGTAATAGTGTCGTTTCTAGTTCCCCCTTTTTTTCTCCCAAGTTTTTCCCTATTAATGTACAAAATGGTCAGCCTTTTTCCTTTCTTCCATCCCAATGTTGTCAATACTGTAAAAATATGGGAAAAACTTTGAAGGAAAAGGGGGACTGGAAACGACACTATCACACTTAAAAGCTTACTCAATGAGACCTACTGAAAAATAAAAGCCCAGGGCTTCTATTAGGACATCTACAGTATTTCTTATTTTCCCCCACAAATTTAAACAATTTCCTCTTGTAATAATATTCAAAAAATATCCACGTGCCATAAAGATTGATTGATTAGAGCGGAAAGGAAGAATAAAACTCTAAAAACTTTTCTCTTCCATTTCTATCTTTCCTTTTTTATTGTTAAAAGTTGTTAAATAAATAAAGCTTTTAAGTATTTTTATTTAAAAATTTTATTTTTCAAAAACCTTTTTAATGGAAAAACATAAAGGAAGAAAATTTATAGGAACGCAAGAAAGTGATGGTTACCGTATAACCTTCGTTAATTGCCTTGAGATTGAACTTGGCGGATTATGGGAAATCAATGGATGTCCGGATCCGGTGTCCAAATCTAAATTTCCGGATATCCAGTCTTTTTTGGATCCGGATCAGGGGTGTCCGCAATTGCGGATTTCGGCTGCGTAAACTTTTTTTTTCATCTGCGGACACTCCTAATCAGGATATCGGATCCATCACCTGAGCTACTGACAACTATTGATTAATAGGATTCCAATGGGGTTCTCCAAAACGAAAAAATGATGATTTTTCGATTCGGTTCGGTTCCAGATATCCGTAAACCTTTTTACCAACTTACAACCCTCTTGACCAAAATTTCTTTAGAAAAAGTATAATTAACTTTTTCTTCTTTCCCTTCGAGTTCATTATATCAAGACTTGACTCTATTCTAATTTACTAGTTCTTAATTACTCATGAAAATTTAAAAATACAATTTTAGAATGTACAAGAAAATTTAACAACGACATCAAATTTAATGGGTATTGGTCACTCTACTGCTAGTCACTCTAATGAAACTAATTCTACCAATTTTAAAAATGAAACAAAAAATGATTTTGAAAAACAAAATAATTTAATCAAAAATAGTATTAACAACCATAATATATCCCGGTAGAAATTTTAAATTCAAGTCAAATTTTAAAAGAACTCATCCTAGTATACGCCAACTCAAAGATACCTACTGAAAATTTTCAATCCCAAGCGGGTACCTTATAGGGAGATTTAATTGTATTAATCAAGTCAAAAAATATTTGCAAAAATGCCCACAAAAAATCGCAAGGAAATCTACAGATACATACATAAGTTTTTGTCCGCAAAAAGTTGTCAGCAAAAAAATTATCCGCAAAATAAAATATCCGCAAAAATGAATTACGCACCTTTCCTTTATAATTCCCCTCTTCTAACCAAAAACCAAATACCAAAAAAGTTTAAAAAATTTTTTTATTTTCAAGTCCAACCAATTTATTATTACTACCCACAACTTCACCACAACCATCATCATCATCATTAAAATCACTAATAACTCCATCATCACTTTTACCTCCACCCCCATTAAATAATCAATCAAAATCATTACCTTCCTCCCTTCTACCTTCCCCTTCTTTAAACCCTTCCATTCCTCCTCCTTTTTCATCGTCATTAAATTCAGAATCTTCCCCCTCTTCAAATATGGCGGCAGCTACTTTTTTATCAAATTGGCGTAGACAATCAAAAACAACCAAAAATAATAATAAAACAATTAATTGTGTTAATGAGAATAATGAAAATAATAATAAAATTAATAATGGATATACCCTTAGTGAATTATCACACGATGTTTTAGCGCAGGTGAATTACCCCTGGTTTTTTGTAAAAATATTTTCGCGAATATAAAGTTCATATAGACCAGGGGTAGGTTGGAAATGATGAAGGTGCCGGAAATAGGAACTCTCGGAAATCGGAACTCTTGGAAATCGAAACTCTCGGAAATCGGAACTCTCGGAAACCGGAACTCTTGGAAATCGGAACTCTCGGAAATCGGAAATCAGTTTGAATTTTCGGAACTCGGAAGTCGCAAATCGGAATTCCGACCGACCCCTGATATAGACGTAGGTTTGGGGTGTATTTAAGGTTTGTATTAGCGGGTCTTCTGACCAGTCAATCAGACCTCTTGTAATGAGAGTATTCTCAGATCATACACTATATAGTCTCAGATCTCTATCACCAACTATCCCTCGTTAAGCGATACCCTCTATTCAACTGCAATAGTTTCATCCCCAAGGTACACATTTAAGTCATATGATATGATTTTTTAGTTTTGGACTGGGATCATGTTGGAATTGTATAGCAAACCTGATGGGACTATAGGCTTGTTTCTATAGGAAAGCTCCACATATTTGGATCAGTATATGTAATAACGTGGAAGCATCTTTTAGGCCAGAAAACCCCCTCCGAAACCCTGCCCCTCGTGTGGGAGGGGAACTAGACATTATAGCCTATAACCTTAAAATATCCGTTGATATTATAAGGAATCCAGTCACTTTACTAATTTATTTTTATCATTAGATTATTCGTCTTTTCCCCTTCTCTTCATCCTTAACACCAACCCCTTCCTCCTCTCCTACATCAACAATTATAAACAACAATAGTTCATCCTCTCCTTCCCAACGTCATATAATTTATAGAGCATTATCCCAACCTAACCCAACAATAAATACAAACTTGAAATGCTCTCCTTTAAATGAAGAAAAAAAGAAAAAAGAAGAAAATAAATCCTTAATTAATATAAATAAATTAAATAATAATAATGATGATGAAGAAATATTAAATAATAATAGTTGGTAGTTTTAATTTATTAAAGGCTAAGTAATCAGCAATTAGAGCTAGGTCCCATTTATCGACTCCCCATCACCTTCGGACCGGTTTGGTCCCCTACTCCGATTCCCTCTGGCTTCCCTCCCCTCATCGTCTTGTCCCTGACTTCGTTTCCTCGTCTGACAATGATTTTTAGGACATTCCTAGTCACTCTAAAGTCTGCTCCCCCAATATCTCCGTTCTCCGAAATTAGATATCAATTAGGGTTGGTCCCCTTTATCGACTCCCAATCCCGTTCGGATTGGATCCCCAACCCTTGGTTCCAGACTCGGATTCCTCTGACTTCCCCTCATCGCTCGATGATTTTTAGGCCATTTCCCGATCCCATATACGGTCTGTCCACATCCACGTTTCTTGATATATACCGATTAAATTAGAATCCAAGGGCTGTCTGTATATATGGTAAAGTAAGAATTAGCAATACATTAATTACGGGATTTTAGTAATGACCTTTGGGATGTTTCAGCCTATTTTCCAAAGAGCCGAGAGCAGCAAACATCCCTATTTGACACCCTAAGGTTAGAAGAATCCAAAGGATAGATCTTAATGAGACGATCTAGGTCGGGTTAGACAAAATATTTAGGGTCCAAGCCTGAATCTTAAGGATATTTTTTATACCTTTTCTGTGGGCAAACAAGCTGAACTTGAAAATTTATTTTTCTAGAAATTCCCCCAAAAAAGCAACTTTTGCGTGATTGGCATACTAGAGCTGGCAGTTCCTCCCTCGGCCGTAAATTAAGGAGGGCTGCTTCTACCTTTTCTGGTAGCAAAATGATTGAAGGGATTTCTTCAAAAGAACGCCCAAAAAATTTATCAATATTTGGGAAATCGGAAAAGAATAGAAAAAATGGAAAATCGCCAACATCTTGCAATGGGGCATTAAGCCGTCTATGCAAGGTGGGTTGACAAAAAAAATTTTTTTAAACTAATTTTTTTAAATTAAAATTACTTGTTATTCACTCTAGAATACCTTCCAGGAATAATTTTGAAAAATAATTATAATTTTTTAATTAATTTTAATCTTCCTTTATTTCCTTATTTTTTCTCTACCCCTAATTTTACTCAAAAAAATTTTTTCATAAACTTGCGGACAAAACTTGCGGAAAAAGCTTGCGGACAACTCCAAATAAGTAAGAGTAGCTCTCGGTTATGCTCACAAAGTCAGCGTATTTGATCCACAACTAATATTTATATTTTCTTTTTTTTTGACAAGTTTGCGATGATGATCAGGAGTTTGCGGATAAAACTTGCGGACAACGTTTGCGGACTTTTTGAGCCTAACGGAAAAAAACTCAAGAGGTGTTGGGCTAGTTCAGGGATGTAATGGGTACACCCCAACGTACCGCTAGCCCAACCTACCGCCGAGGCTATAACATCGTTCAAAATTGTCGGATCTGAGACATCTTAGTATGGTTGGATTCAGCTCGTCGAGGTGTATCGAACCATACCAAGGCGTCCCGGATTCGTCAATTCTGAAAGAAGTTATCGCCTCGGCGGTAGGTTAGCTTGCTCCCTAATTGCACATACATCGTCTGCGGATTTTAAAATTAAAAATCGTCGCTAGCGGCTGTCTAACTTAAATTTTTTCGATAGTGTCTCACGTATTTTTCCTATAATTTTAAAAAATTATTTATAATTTTTTTGTTTTAATTTTATTATTTTTTAAAAATTTAAATTTAAGCATTTTTAAAAAACAAGTTTTCATTTTTCCTAAATTGGCGGAATTGTAAAAATTTTTTTTTGCTTTTTCGTTGATGTAAATTCACGTCATTCTCTCATTCATATTTAAGGGGGGGGGGGGTTAATATAAAATTGTTAAACCGGAAAATTAAAAAGAATTTTTATTTATTTTTGATCAACCAATTAATCTTTTTGAAAGATTAAATTTTTAGCCGATTATTTATTTAAATATTTTTGTTGTAAAAATTGATCAGTTATACATACTATTTTTTAATGTGGTACTATATTAGAGAACCCCTCTTTTTTATTACATTACCCCTCTCAGTGTTTTATTTTTGAAATCAGGGGAGGGAGGCGACGCTTCTACATAGAGCTTCTACATACAGGATTCCGTTATAGATATTCCTACTTAGAATCGAAAATTGGAGGGAAATTTGAAGGAGAACCTCAAAAATCAAAATTTCGAAACAGCTCTACTCCTACAAATATACCTCTTGGTTTAGTGTGTTTTTAAACTGAAGGTTGTAAGGGGAGTCTTATGATGTCTCCCTAATTTAGCATACAACTTAGTGTACGGTTTTTACAGCGCGAACGCTATAACTAGATTTTAAAATTATCTTAGAAAATTTTTTTTTGAAAATTGAACTCATTTAAATCGAATTCATCAAAATTTATTTTTAATTATTCTGTATTTTCTGTTAATTTCTTTTTCAAAGGTTCGCAAGTTTTATCCGCAAATCACAAATTTTATTTTATCAAAAAATTCCCCCAATCTTTATTTTAAAATATATTTAATACGCTTTCCAACCATCATATACATCAAAATAATCCTATTTTTCAATAAAATAAATTTTATTATTTGCGGACAAAACTTGCGGACAAAATTTGCGGACAAAACTTGCGGACATAATTTGCGGACAAAACTTGCGGACTTTTAGAAGAAAAAGGGAAAATTACCATCAATCATCCACAGGTCATCGAAAATAAGTTCAAAATCAATTTTTCCTTTTTTTGATAACTAAACACCAAACTAACTTTTTTCTCTAGACTATCAATTTCCTCAGACCATATTTAAAAAAATAAAATTAACAGTTAAATCAATCATAAAGGGTATTATCAATTTTTAATTATTACAGTCAGCACATCATTTTTATTTTTATTTTTTTTTATTTTTTTAATTTAATGTTAACGTCATGTTTATAGTAAAAACATTAAGTAAAAAAAATTATTTTTTAACTACAAAAAATAGGTACTTGGTTATCACAAAATACACTACCCTTTTTTGGGGGGTATTTTGAAATTATAAAAATTTTTTTAAAAGTTGTTTATAAATATTTTTTTAATTTTTTAAAAATAAATTCATAATTCCTTTAAAGAATAATTTAAAAATTATATAAGAAATATTTTTTCATAAAAAATTTTAAAAAATATTTAAACTGCTTTTTTATGTTTACCCGAGATTTGCGGACATCTGCAAAAATCTTTAAAATTTTTCTGATTTAATTTCTGATTTTTTCCTTATGTTAGGGTTTTGATACATACAAAAAATAAATTTTTAATTCCCTTATACTATGTAGAATAATTTAAAAATAATTTAAAAAATATTTTTTTCTTTAAAATTTTTTTTGCGATTTTTAATGTCTGGTCGACATTTGCGGACATCTGCAAAAACTTTAAAAAAAAAATTTGCGGACATCTGCAAAAAAAAATTTGCGGACATCTGCTATCAATTTCCTCAGACCCTGATTCTAGAGGTTTGATTCTTCTCACGGCGCATCCCTCAATTTCCTCGTCCCTTTATTAACTTATAATAATGTTTTGATGATTGACCGATATTTGCGGACATTTCTCTTGATTGTAAAATTTTTTTCTGATCCTGTTCTGATTTTATTCTCATTTTATTCTGATTTTTCCTTGGAGTTTTGAACATCAAAAAATTAATCATAATTGCTACCACAAGACCCATTCACTTAATCGTTCCTTCCAAATTTTAACAGATTTCTGGTCTTGTCCGCAAATGTTGTCCGCAAATGTTGTCCGCAAATACCAGTCACCCTTCATTTTAATTATTTAATCAGTCATTTACTTTTTCCTTTTTTAGATTTACGTACACATTTTTATTGCTTTTTATTGTCATCGTAAAGTGTACATAGAAATATTTTTTAATTATTTTTTTAATTTTTATTTTTCTTATTATTTTTAACATCTATAAATTAAACAAATTTGTAGTAAAAATTAATTTTTCATTTGTATTCTGATTTTTTAAAATTTAATTCTGATTTTGATTTTTTGCTTTAGTTATAAATTTACTATCGGGTCTCATTACGGTCGGATCTTGTTTTCAAATAAAATTTTGACTGAGAGGGATATGATCTTTGGGAATGAGAATCGAAGAATGATTTTATATAGGGGTGGGGGGGGGGAGTATAATTTTCCTTTTGACAACCAACTTTTACCTAGAAGACATCGCCTTCCTTGGGGATTATCTTAAGATGAGGTCCGATTCTAGAGGTTTGATTCTTCTCACGGCGCATATTCTTCTCAAATTTATTCTTCTCATATTCTTCTCAAATTCTTCTCACGGCGCATATTCTTCTCAAACACTCTTTTCCTTATTTGTTTAATTAACTTTAAAAAACATTTTTCAGAAGTTCTGATTTTAATTCTGATATTTTTTTAAATTTTCGAATGGGCAATACAATAGACATCAACAAAGAAAAAGTCCATTTAAAATCGTTTACCTGCAGCAAAGCTTCCCTTCATTTTCCTCATTCTTCCCCCTCCAAACAACCCTCACCCTCCAAACAACCTTCTTCACCCTCTTCTACCACAAAAACAACACCCAACAAAAAAGCCTTGTTTTCAAACTCAAAAGAAGAATTTTCTCAACCTTCCTCCCACTCCTCCCCTAAAAATCAAAATTCTAAAAATCCCCAAAATTCCCCAAAAATTCCCAGTAACCCTTCAAAACCCCCTCAACGTCGCCGCTCTGCTGTTGAATTACTCCAATCTTTATGGAAACAACGACAAAGGAGGGAACACAGATCAGTTTCTAGTTGTTCTCTGTTACAGATTGAAAGCCCTCCAAATGTGGTTAGTCCAGATTCTGTTGTGGCTTTGGAAGCGAGTTTGAAGGAACCTGAAACTTTTGATGCTCTAATGAGATGGGGATTACTCAAAGTTGGTGTTAAATACGGGAAACTCTGATTTATCACAGTCACATGGCACGGATTTTTAGATGCGGATTTTCATTTTTGCAGACAATTTTTTGCGGATAAAAATTGCGGGCAATATTTTGCGGACAGATTTTTTGCGGACAAATTTTTTTGCGGACAAAATTTTTGCTGAGAATTTTTTTCGAACTCCACAAGGTCAATATCCTTGTCCGTGCTTGTGTCATCAATCCATCTGCTAGTAAAAAGGAAGAAAATATTTATTTTACACAAAATATTCCCTAAGCTTAGGGGATAAAACTAAATCAATTTCTTCTTTATTTGCCCCCTATTCTTCCATATACTTTTTGTTTATTGTTTATCTTTTTTCTTTTCGTTTTTTGTAAACAAAAACACATGGAGAAATCCATTAAAAAAATTTTTTATTAAATTCTATTTTTATTCATCCATCTTTTTTTCAGGTTTCAGTAGACACAATGGCAATAACTGCACTCCCACTTGATTGTTGGCTTAAAGAAAGGCTAAAAAATTGGGTTCAACTATCAGGGCATCAAGGCTAGTTTCTTGATTTTTATTGAGAAAATAGTCCACAAAAATAATCCGAAAAAAAATTATCCGCAAAAAATCGTCCGCAAAAATATTCCGCAAAAATATTAGTCCGCAAAATTTGTCCGCAAAAAATTTGTCCGCAAAATTTATCCGCAAAAATTATCCACAAAAATTGTCCGCAATTTTATTTTTTTATTTATTCCAGGCACAATAGTTCCAGCATCCAATCACAGTTTATGGAAAAAGCAACCTCAAGGTAGTCATACCGAGGCAAAGGCATATTCACAAATCATGCTAGACCCAGCCTTGAAAGGAGTTACTCCAAATTTTATAAGGGAAATTCAACACAGAAATGAAGGTGGAAATTAATTGAAAAAAATTTTTTAAGCTTTTATTTTTTAGTTTTCATCGAAATCCAAGATTTATTAGCTGAGGTGAATAATTTTCTTTTTTAAGCCAAAGTTTACAGTTGAACCTCATTATAAAATAGGCTACCTCCAAAACCTCATAAGATGCCTCAGGGTAAAGAAGGGGTGTCTAATAAATGCCTCCAATTTAACATACCTCTCATTATAAGGTACAAGTGGTATACGGATCTCGAGGGGATACAGTTCTATCTCGATCCGGATTAAGATAGCTCGAAGGTGGTACAGTCGGAACCAGAAATGGTCATGGATACTGATATGGATAAAGATAATACCAAAATGCCTGCGGATATCCGCCTGTATCCGTCTGTATTCGCCGTAAATATCCGGATACGGATACCAAAATCAGTATCCGTGTCCTAGTCTGGTCGGAACCTCCCTCGGACCTCCACGGGTTCCTAAATTTGTTTGACTTCTGGCTGTGGGATATAGGCTGTGGGATGGCTTTGGGATAGACTGTCTTAGCTTTACCCTCAATTTTAGATACCCTCACTTTCAAATAGGATATCTCCCTCGTCAATGGGGTATTTTATACTGGGATCTAACCATCTTTATAAAGTATACTCAAAACTTTCTTATTTTTCAAGTTCCCCGACCCCTCAACAAGAGCAATAATGGACATAAAAATAGGAACTAGAACATTTTTAGAATCTGAAGTAGCAAATAAACATAAAAGAGTTGATTTGTATAAAAAAATGATTGAATTGGCACCTAATGAACCTACTGACCAAGTAATTATTGAAGGGATTTTTAAATTAAAAAATTTTTTTAAGGAAAGACAAGACGAAGCAATTACAAAATTAAGGTACCTAATATTTATGAAAATATACTACCTAGTCAGATCTTAGCCGCTTAAGTGATACCTTCACTCCTCCGTACACCTAAATTTTATACTTACACCTTTTCGTTTACATAACCTAACTGAGAGATCCGACTGTAATAAAGCTATGATTTTTTAAATTTATTATATTTAGATATATGCAGTTCCGTGAGAGGTAGAAAGAAAATTTTTATTTTAATACTTAAAAAAAATTTTTTGGAAATGTAATGTCCGCAAAATTTTTTGCGGACAATCCGCAAATTTTTTGCGGATAATCCGCAAAAATTTTTTAATTATAAAATTTATTTCGTTTTTCGTTTAAAGAAAATCCTCATCAGCAACTCTAGGTTTCCGTATAGAAGCAGCTCAACTCCCTGGAGTTCCTATTCAAAAAAATTTTAAACAAGTTAGAACACGTTTGCAAGTAAGAAGAGCACTCAGGCATTTTTGTGGGACAGACAAAGTCTGCAAACAATTAGCTAAACGTTTGAGGCATATTCGAGATTCTGTTGAAGCTAGTTCTTTTTTTGCATGTCATGAGGTGATTTTTAAAAATTTTTTCGGAGGAGGAATCTGTGGGAAAATTATAAGGCTTCTGGGTCTATATTGCCTGGTTAGATCAGTTATCTTCGCAAAAACTTTATTTGAACGACGTCGATTATTTTTCCCTTAAATGAAATGAGATGTGCTTGGACTTCTTTACATTAATCTTTCGAGTCTCGTTCATTCGACACCCTTTTGTGCTGTAAAAAAATTCATTAAATGGGAGACGGAATAGAGAACCATCAAGGAACCATCAAGTTCTCAGAGGAGCCGAAGCTGGCCGAAGGCCGAAGCACAACTAAGGTTGAAGTTGTGCCAAGGCCGAAGCACAACCGAATGTGCCATAACCCTAAAATCTTTTTTTGAAATGCGGACGCAACACCCATTTTCCGTGGTCCTCCCAGTTTACTTCCCGTCCCACTTCCCTGTCCTAGTTTCAAAATTCTTATCTCTATTGACCATTCAAAGCCTCTAATTTAATCCCCCTTCATTTTTAGATTGTTGGATCGTCAGTATTATTAATTCATGATGGAGGCACTAATTCTAACAATAATAAAGAAATAAAAGTAGGGGCATGGCTCATCGACTTTGCAAAATGCCACAGAATTGAAGGAGGGGGAAGATTAACACATCGACGTCCTTGGGATTTGGGTAATCACGAGGATGGGTATTTAATTGGGTTGGATAATTTAATGGAATTGTTGGAAGGAAATGAAGAAGAGGAGGAAGGGAATGATGAAAATAATAATAATAATGAAGAGAGGATTAATTTAAAGTTTAAAGGAGAAAAGGAAATTAATGGAAAATAGCGAGGGGATTTTGACACAGATAACTCCAAAAATTTAAGATTAGATGGGGAAGGGTTGATATCGAACAGGGACGAGATCTAGTTCAAAAATTTAGTTGTAAAGATAGAAATTTCTCGAAATTTCGAATTCGAAGTTTCGATTTCGAAATTCTTCGAAATTTCGAGTTCAAAATATTTCGAAATTTCGTGTTCGAAGTATTTCGAAATTTTGATTTCGAGTTATTTCGAAATTTCGAGTTCATAATTTTTCTAAATTTTGATTTCGAAGCTTTTCCGAAATTTCGATTTCGAAGCTCTTCGAAATTTCGAGTTCGAAATATTTCGAAATTTCGATTTCGAAATTTCGAGTTCGGATCTTGATCTATCCCTTTGTCCTTTAACACCAATCCGTGTAACACAAGTTAGGAGAATTTACACTAATATCCTTGTCTTAATCAGCCCTCTTGGGAAGACCCCCCTCCCGTTTTTTCATTCACTTGTTTTAAAGTCTCTCCCCATTTGTTAATTTTTTTGACTTTATTTTAAAAATTTTGTTTAAATAGGCATTGAAGCTCCCTATAAACCCTTCCTGCAATTTTAATATATTTTTTAAATTTTATTTTTGATTTGTATTTCATTCACTTAATCTTTAGTTCAAATGCTTTTTCTTGCCTTTTTTGTATATTCATTGATATTTTTCACTTAATTTTTCTATTTTAGTATACTTATATTCTCGCTTTTTAATTAAAAAAAATAAATTTTTTAAAATTTTTATAAAGATAATATCTAGACTAGCAAATAAAACAAAATATCTGGGATGGGATATTAACACCAGGGATCCTACCGTCTCGAATTCCCGAAAATCGGGAGATCCAGACGCTTTTTGTAAAAGGAATCCCGATTCCTGAAATCTCAAGTGATCACGTCAGCAGGATCCCTGATATAGATACAGAGCTATGTCGAAATTTCGTATTTCGTTTTTTTCGAATTTAAATAAATTAAGTTTCGACACAGCTCTGAGGGGGGGGGGGCATTCCAATATCTGCCATTTTCCAGACTAATGGCGCCATCTGTCAGATTTTTTGACAGTCCATCCCCTAAGTGACAAATGGCAGATGTTGGAATACCCCCTTGGATTTGTGTTAATATTATTAATTTTTAATTAATATTAAAAAGATATTTTCTCTAAGTTCCGCCAGCAACAGAATCATAGCTGGCCCTGAAGAGTCTCTTATGCAATTGAAACTTAAAGAAATTTGGTCATAAAAATAATTTTTTAAAAATCACCTTCCAAACAACACCGCTCAACAAAATGAGCAAAATAAGTAGAACAAAAACAGAAATTAGCCTAAATAAAAAAATATTTTTGAAAATCAGAAAAATATTTTTAGATTACGTGCTATTTGTAGATTCGTTTAGTTCTGGTCCGAATGTTGGCTGAAAAATAAATTTCGATAAATTATTCTGTTTTAACTGACCCAGACTGGCCCAGAATTTTTTCAGAATTAAAACCTTAGCAAAATTCTGATTTTAAATTTGCTTTTCTATTATTCTGATTCTCCTAGAAAAAGTATTTTTAGTTAAATTCTGATTTTATTTTCGTCTATTTTCTTCCACTTAATAATAAAAACCAGAATTATTCTCCTGTTTCCCTGACCATTTTGAGCTTTTTTGCTTGATATATAATTTATTATATATTTATCATTTGAAAGAGCTCTTCAAACTGGGTCGAATGATACCAAGATCGGGTAGATTTGATCATTCTGAACAGAATTAAAAAGCTTTTTCTAATTCAGAATTTGACGAGTTTAGTGTCATTCGACTCAATATTACCGCAATTCTGGTAAAAATTCTGATTTTATAACTGTGTTTGTTCCTCTCTTATAGTAACCAGAATTAATAAAAACCAGAATTATGCACATACTGCAGAAAAATTCCGGTTATAAAAGTAAAGCAGCTGGGCTATAGCTATTTCTCTCCTTTAGCTAGTGCAAAAGGTTATTCGGCGGCTGGGAGCGAACCAGCATCTTCAGTAGACCGGACTGATGTGTTAGCCATTACACCACGCCGCCTACTGCTCAGCCTTAGGAAATTAATAGCTATATGCTTTACATAAATCAGAATTTTGAAAACAGAATTATCAATCAGAATTCAATTCTGATTAAAAATTCTGGTAAAAATTCTGATTTTATACACTGCTCCACATAATTATAAGTCCACCCGTTTTTTCGGGATTTTTTGACTTCCAGTGATCCAAATTTTCTGAAAATTTAGAAACACACCTTTTAGTGAATAACTAACAAGATGTAAATCGATTTTTGGCTGATTTTTTATTCAAAAAATTTTTAGACCAAAATTTGCATTTTCGGCCTCCACAAAATTATAAGTCCACTTTTCAAAAAAGACATTTCCAAGATTAGGAAAAATCTACAAAAATTCTAGCAAACAGACATAATGATATTATGAAAAAATAAAAAAGAACTAGGCCCATATCTTTACCCGGAGCCGAGATCCTGAGACCCCGAAAATCAACGTAAACCGGGGGTAAGGCTCTTTAAAAAAATTTTTCGACCCCTTATGGATTGTTTTGAATTTTGATATTGGGCTCATTCGAAAGCCCTTGAAATTTGCTATAAGATCATTATAATTTTATTTTTCAGAAAAAATTTTACTGAGATTCACAGACAGTTAAACTTTCGAATCCACATAAAGGGCATTTTATGGGGTATTTTGCTGCATCAGAAAATTAATGGCCTATATCTTTCTAATGGATTTTTCTATAAAACATGTTTAATTCTATCTTGTAGCAAATTTCAAGGGCTTTCGAATGAGCCCAATATCAAAATTCAAAACAATCCATAAGGGTTCGAAAAATTTTTTTAAAGAGCCTTACCCCCGGTTTACGTTGATTTTCGGGGTCTCAGGATCTCGGCTCCGGGTAAAGATATGGGCCTAGTTCTTTTTTATTTTTTCATAATATCATTATGTCTGTTTGCTAGAATTTTTGTAGATTTTTCCTAATCTTGGAAATGTCTTTTTTGAAAAGTGGACTTATAATTTTGTGGAGGCCGAAAATGCAAATTTTGGTCTAAAAATTTTTTGAATAAAAAATCAGCCAAAAATCGATTTACATCTTGTTAGTTATTCACTAAAAGGTGTGTTTCTAAATTTTCAGAAAATTTGGATCACTGGAAGTCAAAAAATCCCGAAAAAACGGGTGGACTTATAATTATGTGGAGCAGTGTATTTATTTATCTTCCCCCGCCCTCTTATAGTAAATCAGAATTAATAAAAATCAGAATTATGCACATACTAGATTAAATAAGGTTATAATTCAGAATTTCGAAACCAGAATTATCAATCAGAATTCAATTCTGATTAAAAATTCTGATCAGAAATTCTGAATTAAATTTATTCTTCTCTACCTTTTCAATTATATAATGTTGCGCCTTCTCCTCCTTTGCTCCTTCCTTCCCTTCATTTTCTTCCTTTTCCTTTTCTTCCTTCTCTTCCTCCTCCTCCTTATCCCAATCATCTTCCTTCATTTCATCTTCATTATTCTCTTCTTCCTCCTCTTCGGAAATTTTTTCTTCACTAGAACGACTTTTAGTCTTTTTCCTTCCTTTACTTCTTGCTCTATGCCTGGCAACAGCTTCCTTATCAAAGGTCTTTAAAAATAAAAATTTTATGTCAAAAGTAAGGTTGGAAGTTCCTGGGAAATCTTCGGATATCCCGAACCGGAACCCCGAAATTTGTATCCGCGTAATGAAAATATTTCGTGACTGGGAGGGTCTAGGGAATAACTTATGGGGAGGCAACACCAATGTAGTGGATAATAAGCCTTATTTCTTGCTTTTTAGAGCCTGGGTGAAAATTCTTTGATAATTTTGGAAGGCCAAGAAGTCAGATTTCTCCCATTTTTCCTAGTTCTAGGAACAAACCGAAAATTCAGGATATCTAGGTATTGGTAGTCCACTGGGCTGTGGGTGCTAATAGAGGGTGTCTGAGCGATACCCTCTATTTAATAGACCTCATTATAAGGTACAATCCTTTTCGGCCCCAAGGGGTATATTCTAATAAGGTCTCCTATAATGAGGTCTTACTGAGAAAAATTTCTTTACCCTAAAACAAGCTTCAACAAATAATTTTTCTGAAGAAAAACTGGCACATCCAGTAGGTGATAATTCTTCTGGGAGTACTGATTTATCAACAAATGAAGCACAGCCCATCTTAATTTTTTAAGTTTCAAAAAAATTTTTCTTGCTCTAACCGATCTATATTCTTTCATATTCCCAATCTCTGAACGAATTTCCACTTTAAAACAAAATTCTCCTGTGCATTTGGCATTACTTTTGCTAGTCATATTATGACCCATTACATCAACGTGTACCATTGCTTCACATCTGGAACGTTCTGGCACTCGGATTTTTGGTTTTTTCTGAAATATAATGATGAATGAAGCCCGAATACTAAAATTCGTTCCTATCGAACTTAAGTACTCTGATCAGTCTTTAAGCCTCTCTCCTAGAAGGAGGAGGTCTAATTTTATCCCCTTCTTCTTCTAAGGTTTCGAGCCGAATACTAAAGTTCGTTCCTAACGAACTTAGGTACCCTGACTCAAGTTCGCTCGGTTTTTGGGCCTCTCTCCTAGAAGGAGGTCTAATTTTATCCTCTCCCCCCTCTAAGATTTTGAGCCGAATGTAAGGTTCGTTACTATCGAACTTAAGTACCCTGACTCAAGTTCGCTCGGTTCTAAGCCCCTCTCCTAGTAGGAGGAGGAGATCTAATTTTATCCTCTCCCCCCTCTAAGGTTTTCGAGCTTCACCTCTCATATTTGTTAGAGTGAGGGTTCTAATCTTACCCTCCTCACTCTAAGCAGGATTCTTTCTGTAACTCTTACTATAATAATTCATTTAAAAAACTGACAGCATTGCAGTTCTTGCCCTCACAAACACAAGATTCTGTATACAACAGTTCATCGGGTAATTTGGACACTGAACGATGCATAGCTCCAGTTATTGGCTAAAATATTTTATCAAATATTTTTATACCCTCAAAAATATTTTACTGGAATAGTACATGCCCCAGCACTTCTTCGTTCAATTAACGGCACAGATGCATTCACGCAACCCTGCTCGGTTACACCTGTCTTGTGATTGACTACATAAGTGCACAATTCACCGACACACTTTGTTTTGTCCCTACAATGATCGCCTTTACAAACACATGTATATCTGAATATGGAGATTAGACTTTTAAGAAGGATACCCCTTAAAGGTTATAATCCACCAACGCTATAATGAGTTATCTTAGAGAAGGGGTATCGCCTAAATAGAGGTCTGGATCCCTTCGGATCTCCGGACTTTTTCGGATATTTTTGGAAATAAGGGTTCGCCATGAGGTATGATATTCTGTGGCCATATTTTGGGTCATTGATATTTAAGGTGTGATATTTAGGATGGAAATATTTTGGGAGGCGATATTCTGGGTGTTGATCCCATAGCCAGGTACCACTGTCTCAATCCATCCCTCAATTTCTTAAAAATTATCTTAAATAGAGATCTAAATCCCTTCGGATCTCCGGACTTTTTCGGATATCCAAAAATCGGTATCTAAAAATCCGAATCCTCCAACCCTAATTAGACTAAATAGGAAGAAGCTTACAATGGCACTTTTTCTGTTTCGAGCTTTTCAGCAACACTATTTTTATTGCAATAATCTCGATTCTTGCAGAAACATGCGAATGGTTTGTCTGCAGAAAGCTGTAAATATTAATTTTAAATTATTCTAAAAAATTCCAGCTTCACCTCCTCTTCCCCTTCTTCATCCTCAACAACTTCACAATGTGAACGAAGATCACTTCTTATCATTTTACCGCCCAAACAGCCTTTGACTATCACTGGTTCGCCCCATACTGATGTTCCCCATCGAGGCTCATAACGAGACTAGAAAATAGAAACAGAATCAGAATTTTAATTAGAATATTTATAAATTTTAATCACTAGGAAGGCTTTTTAATAGAATGACTGGTTTATTAAATAGACTCAGACTTTAGCTAAAGGGGGCTGAAAAGGAAGGGGTTAAAAAAGAAGGGTAATAAGGGGTATCTTAATAGGTGATATCCCTTAAGCTCTCTTCCCTTACCCAGTGGCCACCAAATCTAGAAAATGAGGTTAGATTCTCCCTATTGAACTCCAGAATAAGGTTGGCGGATCCGGATATCCGGATCCGAAAAAGGCCGTATATCCGGAAATTTTCGGTTCGGATACCGGATCCGGATATCCTAAGATTACCAACAATCCGCCAAACTTACTCCAGCACCCTCCCCACCCCCCACTAGGGCTGAAAATCGTAGAAGCCCCTCTCATTATTCATTGTGAACGGGTACACCCCAAGGTACCGCGAGCCCAAGGTACCGCCGAGCTATAACTTTCTTCAAAATTGTCGAATCCGGGACGCCCTGGTATGGTTCGATGCGTCTCGACGAGCTGAATCGAACCATACCAGGGCGTCCCGGATTCGACAATTTTGAAGAAAGTTATAGCTCGTCGGTACCTTGGGCTCGCGGTACCTTGGCCTGCTCCCATTGTGAACGCAGATCACTTCTTATCACTAGGGACAGCCAAAATATGCACGGAAAATTGCCAAATATGCGCATATATATGCACCGAAAAAGCCCAAAATATGCACCAATATATGCAAAATTTGCCAAAATATGCACTGAAATATGCACCAAAATTGTTAAAATATGCTTTAAAGATCAATATTTTAAGCCAAAAAACAAGAAATTAGCCTTTAAACCCGCAATTTAAGAAAATTCTTAGAAGATTTTATGGAATTAAGATTATTGCATAGAAATTTAACAAAAGAAAATTTTTCCGAAAAATTTTTCGAAAAAATTTTTTTATAAAATTTTTATAAAAAATTTTTTTACCAAAAAAAATCCGAAAAATTGAAAATTTTCGGCGATTTTTACTAAAATTTACCAAAAAATACCGAAATATGGACCAAAATATGCAAAATTTGCCAAAATATGCACAAATATGCAAATATGCACGGGAGGGCCGAAATATGCAAATATATGCATTAAGAACCGGGTCCTTAAGTGCTCGGACCTATGTAAAAACACCATTTTTGGGCTTCTCACTTCAAGGCATATCCGCATACAAAACATGCATTTGCATGTTTTGGCTGTCCCTACTTATCACTCATGGTCTATAAAAATAGAGGATAATAAGGTCTCGATTGTATTCAGATCCTTTAAGGACTTCAAATTAGTTCAACAATTTTATATTTCCCAAACACTCACTCACAATCATACAATAGTCTCCTTTACATTTAGATCCCATACAATCCCTGCCTACACAATCAAAGCATGTTAAGGCCAAAGAACCATTTGGAATTAAATTAATAATCAGTAGAAATGGAATAATTTGAATTAAATAATTAAATAGGCAGTAAAAGGACGTAAAATGGTGGCGGTTGTTATAGACAATGATGGATATCATTTTAATTAAATAAAGCTGGAAATTAAAGGGGTTTAAAATTAAGGGAGTTTTTCAAGTCTTTCGCTTCTCGCTAAAATGCCATACTTGTATCGGGTTCAATTCCAGATAGTAAACCAGAAATGATTAGTCTTTGCTTGGAATCAGGTAGGTTTAACTCAAGAATGTTAGCAACTGTTATTGTTATGCCCATCGACTTTGGCAAACCCCCGGGCAGACCCATGAATATAAAGGATTTTTGTGCTCTTGTACTAGGGAACTAAGAAACGTAAAACTTTAGTTCGATTGCTAACAGTCCTGTCCTAGCCTACATACAGATAAGGCATGACTAACAATGTAATCCTTCAAGTCTGTAGGATTATGTTCTGTTAATCCTATACCAGAGGTGAGTCGGAAATGACGAAGGTGCCGGAAATCGGGGCTGTAGGAAATCGGAAATAGGAATTCAGCCCCGCCTCTGTCCTCTCCTACTAATAGTGCAATAAAATCCTTTAAGCCTGTTTAAACTTAGAAATAAATTTCGAAATTTTTAAATTTTATTATAATCTATCCTCGATATCACAACGGGGAGCCTCTCGTTTAAATAAAAAATAAATATGAATGGCATAGACTGGTAATAAATAAAATAAATGGCTTCGATGTTTTGCTTAAGTGCATATATATTATTTCGTAATACGTAGATAGTTAAGGGGAAAGGAACGTAGGCACAAACGGTGTTTGAAAAATGACAAACTCAAAGTGGCATAAACCAGTGTTAGAGTAACCAAGAAAACTTTTGATGTGGGAATGGCACGAGCAATGAAGTGTGGTTAAAATTGTGGAAGAAAATAATATGAGAAATGAAGTGGAGGAAATTAAAATTTTAAAGGAGCGAGTTTAAAAATATTTTTTTAGTTTGTTTAGGTTAACGATAGAAAAATTTTGTGAATAAATTCGAATGCCTCCTCATTATTTGATACACCCTTGGGGTCGAAAATTCGACCTTATGAAGGGTAATGGAGAGTAATGGAGGGTAAATAGAGGGTAACGCTTAGAAAGTTCCAACGCCTAGTGGCCAATCTAAGTTAAAATAAAACGTATCTTAAATTGGGGGTATCTAGTATTGGGTGTATCTTATAGCGAGGTCTATTATACAGAGGTGTATGATCTTATAGTGAAGTGTGTCTAAAAGTAAGTTTGATTATGAGCTCTTCAGCGGGTAATCAAGGTTTGAAAAATATACCTCAAAATTGAGGGTGTCTTATAATGAAGTCTATTATACAGAGGTTGATCTGGTAGGCATGGGGAAACAGGGGTTTTTAAACGTTTCTAGTGCCAACCCAATTTTTTCGTAATAGAAATATTTTTAAAGTAAAATACCAAATAAAGGCCAATCCCAAAAAGGAGTGTATATATCCCAAAAATTGAGGTAAAAAATGGGGAAAACTGCCACCCGTGAAAAGCAAAAAAAAAGAATTTATAGATTTTTTCGTCTCTCGAAGTTTCCTTTTTTGCTTTTTTACTAAGCGGTTGGCACTTTGCTTCAGAAAAAGAGAGAGAAAGCATTTTAGCTGTATTGTTATAGTGGCTAAGTATATGGCAAAAAGCATGCTCTATCTAACGCTATCGACTTTGAAAAATGGAAAGTGGAGAGGACGTGCTAGAAAGGAATATATTATGGCATAAAAAGAATTTTTGCGTTCATATTTCATGATAATGCAAAAATAGAGAAAAAAAATATGAATATTTTAAGCTATTTAAAAATATTTTCAATTGGTCTTTGAGAGGTTGAAATTAAACAGTTAAATTTTAAAATTAGTTTAAGTAAAACTTAAGGCCTCCAGGCAGGAACTGAAGGACCTTCTGGTAGTAGATAAAGCACAAAAAATGAAAGCAGGGCCTCCAAGCCTCCGGGCAGGAACCGAAGGACCTAGACCTTCTAGCAGGGGATAAGGTACAAGAAATGGAAGCAGGGCCTCCAAGCCTCCAGGAAGGAATCAACCTAGGACTTTCTGGCAGTAGATAAGGTACAAAAAATGAAAGCATTATTAAGTCGATGACTACCTAAGACCCCCTTCGAAGAGCCTTAGGCCATAAATCTTCATTCGAAGAAACTTTCAGGATCAATACCCTACAAGCCTTTTTGTTAATTCATTAAATGAATTTTGGGCACCTTACTTTCAGTTTTTGAACCTTTTTTTTTAGTTATACAAAATATTTTGTGTTTAAGCAAATACTTCAAGACTTGCGAATGTTCCTCCAAACATTTTTATATCCCCTAATTATTTATTTTTGTTTGTACAACTATTACACAATCTCTCAAATAAATCTAAAGTAAATCTGAAAAAAGCTGATTAGCAAACAAAACTAAAAAAATACGTTTAAACTGAAAGAAATTACTTGTACTATTTTTAGTCAAAATTTATTTAAAAAATAAAAAATTTTTGAGGTAGCAAATTAAATTCTAAAAAATTTTTAAAAAATTCTAAAAAATTTTAAAAAATTCTACTTAATTAAGGCATCTAAAAATGATTTAAGAAAAATTTCTATAAGGCAAGGAACCTCAATAAAAAATTAATTTTAAGTGAAAAAACTTAAAAAGGAGCTTAAAATCTCTTAAATTCTAATATCTTTTTCTATATTTTTATTTTCTAAAAATTCATTTCAATTTTTCTTTTTTTTACATTTTTGTTGGTGGAAGCACTGAAGCAGCAAAATTTGGCAAAACAAATGAGGCACTATGCATTTGACTGTTATAAAATTGTAAACCCATAGCTTTACATTGCTCGTTGTTAAGTGAACGTTGAGGAATACGCAAATCTTTTTTCTAAAAAAATATTTTTTTTAATTAAAATATTTTTCCTCATTAATAAACCCTTCCCCCTTACGTCAAAAATTGTTTTTGGGTAAATATAAAAAAATGTAAGAAGAAAATAAGAGGGGACTTTCCACCTATTTTTGTTATGCTTCGTCTATTGGCCGGATGGCGCAGTCGGATAGGAATCAGAATTACACATTATCGTTCCTTTTGAGTTCGATTCCTTAATCCAGCGATGTCTACCCACCCCGGCCGTGTACTTTTTGTGTTTTTATTTGTCACGCTTTTTTTTCTAGATATTTAAAACGATTTAAAAGAAAAATCATTTTTGTACCCTTTTTCGAAAATTTCTTAACCCTTCTAATTTAATACACAAAATTAATTTCTCAACGGTCGCATGGGGCAAACTCGGTTATGAGTGGGCTAAGAATTCTACCCACTTTCCGTTTCGATTTTTAGGCCAGATAGCCACAACATCGACGTTCGAAAAAATTCATTTATCATCACTTTTTATATATCAGGAACAGGAAGAAAGGTTATAAACTTATTGGGAAGTCATCGATCTTATCTTCCTTATCGATCCCGATATGGGTGATTCGGCTCAACGAGTTAATCCGCAAGAGGGAAAATTTACAAAATTAAAAAATCCACTTCTACCTGTTTTCCAGCAATTAAATAACCAATACAACCAGACGGATATGTTGGAACACTAGAAGAAGCATATGCTACAGATGGGAATATTTTCTGTACACATTCAACAAGTTTGGTAATTAAGGGTAAATGAAGCCAAATACTTTCTGCTTGACTGGAGAGAACACCATCATCACGTAGAGCATCAAATACAAGCCTAAAAATAAATTTATTAAAATTATTAATCAAAAAATGGGTTAAGGATGGATCCTTAAAGATTAGAAAATTTTATTTGGGGTTTCCGCAAAAAAAACTTTTGTCCGCAATTTTTTTGCGGACAAAAAATATTCTGTCCGCAAATGTTGGCAAGTCAATTTAAATTCAAAAAAAACCCCAAAAATATTTTTCTTCAAAATAAAAATAAATAGAAAAAAATTTTTTTACTCGTAATAAGCACTTCCAAACAAACTTTCTGCTGGGCCTAAAAAAATAAAAATTAATCAGGAAAGACAAAATGTATGCGAGGGAACCGAGAAAATGTTTCTTCATTCATCAATTTTTGTTGTGGCATTTCTTGGTGGTCGCATAGCGCAGACGGTTAAGTTTCGGAACAATAACGTTGCAGGCTCTAGGTTCGATTACTGGCGCTTTCTCGTAAACTGAACCGTGGCCACGAATTTTTTTAAATTTTCAACGACATACAAAAGAAAATTTTTAGGAACCCGCCATGCGTTTTCCTAACCCCCAAAAAAACTTTTTCCACACCCACTTACCTAGCATAATTTGAAAAATATAAAAATTCAAAAAAAAACCTATAGGATCTGAAGAATCAGTAATAATAACATCAAATTGATTTTTGCGTTGCCGTAAAAATTCAAAACCATCGCCAATATGTAACTCCAATTTTGGAGAATTAAAAGAGGAGGAAAGACCGTGAAGATATTCTTTTGCTACATTGACAACCATTTCATCAATTTCACTAAAAAAATTTTTTTCGATTTTCTGAAAGATTCTCAAGTTTATGAAAAAAAAATGCAAAAATCAAAAAAATTTTATAGTAAATTAATTTTAGCTTCCGCATAAAAGTCCGCAACTTTAATCCGCAAATAATAACATCTCTTAAGATCAGATAAGTATACGTAATATTTTTACGAAATCAAAACTATTATCAGGTCGTTTCATAAAGTTTAGAAAGTAAATTCCTTCAGAAAAACAAAAAATTTTTGCGGACAAAAATTTTTTGTCCGCAAAAAAAAACTTGCGGACAAAAACTTGCGGACTTTTGCGGACATCCATGAAAATACTCGTATAAAATTTTTTTGAATTTCCTACTTATAAAATCAAAAGTTTTTAAACTAACCACATAACTACATGTTCAACACTTGCATGTTTGAGAACCTCACGTAAAATACCTCCATCTCCCCCACCAATAATTAAAACCTAAAAAATTAAAATTTAATTTTATTAAAAATTAAAAATTTAAAGAAACGTTTTTTGGATTTGGATGGGAAAACATTGGTAAATGTGCAAGCATTTCCTGATAAGCAAATTCATCTCGATCTGTTGTTTGTATAACTCCGTCGAGGACGAGAACGTTTCCAAAAGTTTTGCTAAAAAAATTTTTTGAGAAAAAGGCTGATTGAATACCAAAGGCAAACCGAAAAGAGGAAAAGTCCGCAAAATTAGGAAAAGTCCGCAAAATGAAAAAAAATCCGCAAAAAGAGGAAAGTCCGCAAAATGAGAAAAAGTCCGCAAAAAGAGGAAAAGTCCGCAAAATCAAGAAAAATCCGCAAAAAGAGGAAAGTCCGCAAAATTAGGAAAAGTCCGCAAAAAGAGGAAAAGTCCGCAAAAAGAGGAAAGTCCGCAAAATGAGGAAAAGCACAAATTTAGGAAAAATCCGCAAAGTATAACAACCCAAAGAGAGAAACTGGTAAATAAACGGACAATCCCAGACCCAATGTCCGTAGATAACTTATCCTAAAGTTCGACTGTACCCAACTACTTTATCAATCAAACACATCCCTGCCCGTAGATCCTAAATTGAAACAACCATAGATCTAATAGACCCGAAAACTCCTCCAAAAAAAATTAAAAAGGGGAAAATAAACGCTACTACCAACGTCCGACTAATTAGTTTACCCTACCACCACCCCTAATAAACGAATAGAACCCCAAAAAGAAAAACCTTTTCAAAACCAGAACGTCCTGATATTTTGATTTTTGATGAAACAAAACTTTGTCAATATCCAAAGAGAATGCCTGCCCAGTCCAAGCACCAGACATCTCCTGCCCGTCCAAATGCATCATTTTAGTACCACCATCAGAGCCAGCAATACGATCAGCATCATCTGGAGAAAATTCTGTAAACCATCCTTTATGTAGAGAATCCATCTAATTTTGTCTGCAAGATTAGAAAAAAAAATTATTTTTAATTGAAAAACGCGAATTTAATCTCGTGACAAAAAAATCCTTTTAACGGGACACGCCCAACTAGGCGCGGGCCATTACGGCGCAAAGCCATAACTTACTTCGAGATTTCCTAATTTTATCAAATTTACTACTAAACGAGTCCTCTCATCGAGATAAAAAGATTGGTACCAAAATTGACAAGGGCCAGACATATTCCAGCAAGTTATGGCTTTGCGCCGTTTTGGGCTGTACCGCTTTATGACAATTTGCTTGTTTTGTCGTTACTTGACATTTTGTCTTTTGGTATTTTGTATTTTCAATCTTTATATTCTCTGTCTTCCCTGTTGTATTTTTCAATTATTTCTCTCTAATCCTCTCTTATTTTTCTCTAACTATTCCAAATAGTATATTTATAATGCCTATTGACAAAACGTCCAGAAAGACAAATTCGTACAAATTGTAGAGGAGAAGAGAAAAGTGTTTCTCTTTTCATAACTTTATTTTGAGAGGTTAACAATGGTTGCATAGCGCAATCGGTTAAGTTTCGGACCATTAACATGCCGGCTCAAGGTTCGATTACTAGCGCTTTGCTGTTAACTGACCCGCGGCCATTTATTTTTAATTCCTAGGCAACAATCAATTTTTGCTGTTTTCTCCACCGTTGTCCTTCTTTCCTTTGATTGGTTGACGCTCGGCGCATCTACCTTTTGGACCATAGGACCTTTATGTGGATGTGCTAGTTCAACTGAATATTTGGTTAAATTTGAGTTGCTTTGTTTTTTTTTCATTTTTTATGCTCGTAGACTGCTAATGTACTCTGGGACTTTTTTGCAATAATATACCACTATTTCTAAAGATTAAATGCCCCCAAGCAGGGGCCGGTCCCATGTACAGAACGGCACATGGACACTCCAAAAATTTTCTCATGGTCACCAGCGCACTGCCTCCGCACAAAGACTATTGGACAGCCACCGAAGCGCACTGAGACCAATAGTGCTGCCAGAACGCACAGCCACTGATGTCTATCTACCAGTAGTGTCCACTGGTCGGCAGCCACCGAAGCGTCCAGCCAACCAGCTTTCTTCTATTGTAGATAGTCCGCCGATGCGGTCCATGGATGATATGAAGGAGAATCCCAAAAATAAAAGATTTGGGAAGTAGTAATTCTTAGACGGTTAATAGAAAGGGTATAGAGAACACTAATTATTCTTACATTTTTTTATTATTTCCTTTTCTCTTTTTCTTCTTCTCTCCTTTACTTTTCTTCTCTCTCCTTTACTCTCTCTCCTTTACTTTTCTTTTCTCTCCTTACTTCTCTCCTTTTCCCTTCTTCTCTCCGTAACTAGTTCTTATAATTTTTCATAATAACAAATCGCTTAGAATAAACAAAATATCTAAAGCGCGTTGTATTTAAAAATGGTCAGAAAAGGAAATTTTTGTAAATTATCGAAGGGAATATTTTTAAAATTTAATTTTTATGTACAGCAGGGATGGGACGGGTTACCCGAAACTCGAAATTTTTTCGACCCGAACCCCGACCCGAGAAATTTTCGAAAACCCGACCCGAAACCCGACATTTTTCATGGAATTTTATTAAATAAAGGGAAGATTTTTGGCTCTTCGGCCTTCCAAAAGCCGTAACATTGGAAGGCCGAACAATGAAGAAAATGTTGCGGAATTTGGGCACGATATTTAAGGACCAAGAGGGTTTGTGGAGGTATCTATGGGCCTTCCAAAAGCCGCAAAAAAAAAGAATCTTTGATCTCCAGGAACTTGTTGCTGGTGGCTGGACTGCCGGAGCATTTTCACCAACTATTTTACATACATGTGTATGTAGGTCTAAACCCCTCGTTAGTTACCATCTTAAATGCTAGTCAACTTGATCTCTTTTCTCCCTACAAAGCAAAAGCCTTTGATTTTCCTTTATTCAATTATCTCCTTAAACATAATAAACAAAATCTTTTTATAAAATTATTTCCCTCAGCATGCTTTACGTAATAGTACAAAGCTTTAATTTGTTGAATGAACATGTCTCACAGTGTGTGATTTTTGTTGAGGAGTGATTTTTATTTTTATGGATTTATTTAAAAATTATTCTTCTTTCCTCCCTTAACTATTCCATAAGATATTATTAAAAATAAAATTAGAGTCATTTCTCACATTCATTTAAAGCCTAAATGTTCGCAAAAATTTGTCCGCAAAAATTTGTCCGCAAAAAATTTGTCCGCAAAAAATTTGTCCTCAAAAGTTTGTCAACAAAAATTTGTTCGCAAAAATTTGTCAGTAAAAAATTGTCCGTAAAAATGCCAAAGTACTGTAGCAAGTAAAGGTTATACCTCTGCCCATTTCCCGCCCCTAAAGTCGATTCCCGCCCCCTTCCGTTTTTTTTCCGTTCCCCGTTCCCTCTCCCACGTAGGGAAACAACAAAAAAAGTTTGCGGAAAAGTCCGCAAGAAATACATTATTCCTATAAAGATTCCTATGAAAAATCGAGAAAAATTTTATCCGCAAGAATTTGTCCTCAAAAATTTTATCCGCAAAAATACTATCCGCAACAATTTTCGCCAGAATACAGTACCAAGGAGAAAAGCCCGCAAAAGTCTGCGGAAAAGCCCGCAAGAAATACCTAATTCCTGTGAAGATTCTCTTGTCCGTAAAAATTTTGTTCACAACAATTTTCGCCAGAATACATTATCAAAAACAAAAATCTGCGGGAAAGTCCGCAAGACTTCCATTTTTAGCAATTTCATGCCTACAAAAATTTTTCAGAAAAATTTTCAGTAAAATATTTTCCTGGAAAAATTCCAAAAAAATATTCCAAAAATCTTAAGGCAGTAAATAATTTTTAAAAATTAATTTTTAAATTAAATATAAATCAAAAAATTTAACTTTTTTCTACTAGTTTTTATTACTTTATGTTGTTGTGTTGATTTATTCTCGTCTGTTTAATTGATATAAATAAACTGACCCAATTACGCCCTAAAATCGTTACTTAATCAAATCAAAAGGCTTTCACTTTTATTTTTAATTTTCGATTAAAAAATGTTGAAAATTTATTTATTAATTAATTTATTAATTATTTCAATTTCTTCTACTCCTTTAAAAATTAAAAATAAAAATAATTTATTAATTAATGAGAAAGAGGCCTACAAGGTTTTTCGAATTTATGCAAAAAGTTGGGAGGATGTTGAAGCTGTGGGGAAATTGAGAAAAATTGCTGAAGAGAGTCAGGAAGTGAGAGAAAAATTTTTTGGGAAATTTATAAAAATTTTTAAAAATTCGGGACAAATTTTAAAAAAAAAATTTAAAAAATTTTTTGTCCGCAAAAAATTTGCGGACAAAAATTTTGTCCGCAAAAATTTTGCGGAAAAAAAAATTTTTCAAAATTTTTTCAAATTTTTCAAAAAATTTTTACATTTTTCACTACACGTTCAGAAATCAGAATTTCTGAAAAAAAGCCATTCAGAAAAATTTTTTTCCTAGCTTGACTTTTGGCTAGATTCTTCCGTTCAGCCTGGCCAATTTTCCGACGTAATGGTATCCCCTTCTGGAATGATAATTTTTGAACAATTTTTGGAAGAACATCCTTCGCTTAATTTTGAAATAACTATTGAGGATGTTCAAAAGTTTGGAAAAAAAATTTTTAAAAATTAAAAAAAATATTTAAAGTTTAATAATTAAAAACGAGCTTCACCCAAAACTTGAATGGAGGAAGAGAAAAAAATTTAAAAAAGGGGGAAGACAAAGTTGGGAATATTCTAGTGAAGAAGAAAATGAGGAAGAGTTAAATTTGCATCGTAAAAGAAGAAGTGATTTGCCTAGTAAATTTGGTAAAAATTTTTTGAAAAAATTTATGTGCGCAATATTTGTCCGCAAAAAATTTTTTTGTCCGCAAAAATTTTGCGGACAAAGTATACTGGCAAATATTTTGACGAATATTCTGACTAAGCAGTAAAAACATTCTGGTCGCCACGGGTAGACAATCCTTTAGCGCATTACGTACTTAACTTAAACAAAACTGGTCAACTAAAAACAAATATGTAGTTTCGTAGTTCGAACGTAACCAATTGCGCCACACGACCACTGAACGATAATGAGAGAAAATTATTCAACAAAGGAGGAAAATAAGGAAATCTTAAAGGCTTGTGAATAAAATTTCATTTAAAAAAATCAGAAAATTTTAATCAGTTGTTGATTATTTATGAAAATTCATTCATGTCCCTAATAGACAAAATTCTCCCTAAATTTTGTCCGCAATAACAGTCCGCAAAATTTTGTCAGCGGAAATTGCAACAGTGTACAGTATCTATTCTCTCTCTCTCTTTCTATAGGGAATTACCTAATTGTTCTTCACTAAAAACAGTTATAATTTCAGAACAACTTCGAGGTGTTCAATACCCTTTCGGTGAATATACAAATTATAATGAAATGGTACTTTAATTATTTAACTTCGAAAAATCAAAATTTACATATTTTTATAGGTTCGATATATGCGCACGTTAGAGTTTTATTATCCCCATTTGGTCCAATTACTTCAAATTGGAACAACACATGAAGGTCGTTCTATCGAGGGTGTTAAGGTGTTTTGATTTAATTAGAAAATTTCCTTTTGATCATATGGTGTAGTTGGTAGTGTTTGCGTCCGTAGGGGTAAGGGGCCGTGGGTTCGAACCCGTTCGGTGGTCATTAATTTTTTTATATCGTTTTCTAAGTCATACTATCGAGGGTGTCAAGGTGTTTTGTTTTAATAAAAAATTTTCCTTCTGAATATATGGTGTAGTGGGTAGTGTTTGTGTCCGTAGGGGTAAGGGGTCGTGGGTTCGAACCCGTTCGGTTACCATTAATTTTTATTTTGTTTTCCTTTATTTCCCAAGTGTTATCTTGACTTTAGTCTTGTTCTAAAAAAATTCCCAGCAGTATATCCTCTCCCATTTATCCGGTCTAAAGCTTAGAGTCGCTCAGAATTTACCTTAGATTTTTTAT